GTAAGAGGAAGTGGAGAAATTGATCTCTTTTCTCTCTCCTCTCCCTCACTCCCTCTCTGCCTGCCTGCCTGTGTTTCTCCTCTCTCTCCCTCTCCCTCTCTCCTCTCTCTCTCTCTCTGCAGTACTGGGGACTGAACCCAGGACCTTCACCTGGGCTGTATTCCCAGCCCCTCCCTTTTTCTTTTGAGACAGGGTCTTGTTAAGTCATTAAGTTGTGCATGCTGGGTACAAACTTGCAATCTTCCTGCCTCAGCCTCCTAGAATGCTGAGATTACAGATATGAGTCACTGCGCCCAGCCTGAATCCTTTTGACAACCTGATCGAGCTGTGTTTATGATGTGCCTGCCTCATCATGATCTCCCTGATGTTTTGGCTCTGAATAACGCAATGGAATAATTAGGTTTTGACTTAAAAAGTTCTGTGCTGTCTGCCCAGGGGTGGCAGACACCCCAGAGGACCTCCTGTATCTGCACAAATCAGGTAGGATTTATGTGATGAGATGTCCTGGACTGATCCTTTGAGGAAAAAATGATTACATTCAGCTTGTGATTGGGGAAGCGAAATGCAATTAAAGAAAATCTGATTAGAATTAAAATGACTGAGGTTTGCCTCTAGGAAAATTTGGTCCCTCGAATATTTTGAATCTGGGAAAGAGGGGAAAAAGGGAGGGAGAGAGGAGAGAAGACAGCTGCTTACCCAGATGTTTATCAAAGCCAACACATTTTTATAATCTGCACTCTAGCTACTCCCTACCAGAATGTCGGCATCCCAAGGGAGCCTGTTCCAAATGCAGATTCTTAGACCCAATCCAGACCTGCGCAACCAGAATCTGTGCATTAACGAAATCCCCCAGGTGCCAGGGTGATCATCACACACGCAGTCATGAATACACAGCCCTACGCTGCCATTTTCCACGACCACTCTCACCACTTCTGCCATAACCTGTGTCCCTGGTAACATCATCAGTGTCACCTTTTCTTCAGATCAATTCACTTTAAAAAAGAAAAACAAAGAAACAAAAAACTGCATTTCCTTAAAAATGTAAGTTTGTATCACTACTATCAGTGGAAAGGCAAGCATTATTTGCCACAAGTACAAAAAAATTATTGAAACAAGACAAAAGTAAGAGCACACAATTTTGACTCTGGCTGGATACTATCACCTGCCTAAAGTTCTCAGCCCAGGCAGGCTCCGTGTAAAGGGAGATGGTGTGAGTTCGGGAGGGGACAGGGCATCCCAGCACCTTGCACCCACCCACAAAGGTGCAAAAGGATCAGAGAAGGAAGAACTTCCTCCCTGTGTGATTCGGGGATACTTAACGCTCCACCTACACAATGTATATAGTGTGTTTTTGCCTGCTGGGAACATGACTTTAGAATAAGCAACGTCTAAGCAAGCAAATGTTTCTCCTCCAAGCATCTTTCCCCAAAAGGCCCTTTTGTGCCTGTTCTCTCTCTCAGTTAGAGCCCCTCCCCAGGGCACATTCAGCCGGCCCACTGGATGTAGTGGGGGTGGTTTATCTGCAGCTCCCAGAGCCCTGCTTCTCAGCCAGCTCCTCCCTGTGGTCCTCAGCTGCTGCAATCCAGAAGCCTGCAGCCCTCGTTCGACTAGGAGATACCCCACGCCCTCAAAGCGCTTCTGAGGGGATGAGGCACCAGGGCATTTTCCAGGACTAGGACAGGAGATGGCCTTGGGGATGAAACTGCACAGCCCCGAACTGCTTCCTACACGGGGAAGTTTGTAGACCTGGCCAACAGGTTCCCATGATCACTTGGGAAAACAGTGCTTTGCAGTTTATGTGAGGATGGCTGCTTGGAGTTGTCCAGAAACACCTCTTGCCGAGAAGCATCAAGCTGGGTTCAACAGATAACAGTTACAAATTTATTTATTTATTTTTGGTACCAGGGATCGAACTCAGGTCCTTGTGCTTGCGAGACAGGCCACCGAACCGCTGAGCTAAATCCCCAGCCCAACAGTTACAAATTTAAAGAGAGCATTTGAAATCCTCCAGCCAAAGCAAGCTACTGAAAGGGGAAGTGGCTGCTTCATACTTATCTTTATTGCATCACCTTTTACTATATCTTAGGAAAACACTATGTGAGACCGTCACCCACCGGAAGACACATCCTTGCTCAGGCAAATGTCCATGGTGTCATATGGGGGTTTGACGTCTTCCATATGCTGCTGCTCGTTTGCAAACCAGCTGGTGTTAAGTAGTGACTATTAATAAAAATCTATGAGGTGGCAGAAACCCTCTGATTCGCAGCAGTGAGGCTGTTAGTACTAACTCAAAAGTTCCCTGGAGAAATTTTGAAAGGGAAAAGGTTTTGCTCAACTACCTCCTCCCAAAAGATCCTTTTGTCTCCACTGATGATAATATTAATACTTAAGATCCTTTCCAACAAGCACGATTCTAAAAATACGACGATATCAACTCATTAGCGCTCACAAGAGCAGAATGTTACAGGTAGGAATTCGTACGCCCTGTTTCACAGATGAGAAAGTAGTCACCACCATGCAACAGGAGGAGCCTTGCAGTCCTTACACAGCAAACTCTGCTCCGTGCCAGGAACTCGTCAATGCGCTGTACTTGTTCCACCACGTGAAACACCCCATGGAAGAAAGCCAGAAGGTGGGAGCTACCGAAGTGCCCATGGAGGACGAGTGGGGAAGCCAGACGAGCGCACGCAGGCAGTGGGACACTATTCGGCCTTTACAGAGGAAGGGAATTCGGACACAGGCGTATGGGTCTTGAAGACATTACGCTAAACGACCTGAGCCAGTCCTTCAAAGATGAATACCCTATGATTCCACTCCATGAGTGAGCCTCGAACAGTCAGACTCACAGAGAGACAGGAGAATGGAAGGATGCAAGGAAGATAAAGGGGAATTACTGTTAGTGGGTAGAGTTTCAACTTGGGAAGATCAAAAAAGCTCCAGAGACAGAAGCAATGGGTGGGTGCACAACAACGCAAGGATACTGAACACCACTGATCTGCACACTTTTAAAAAAGTGTCTAAATGCTAACTTTTATGCAAATATTTTAGCAAAACTTTTTTTTCACACACATAGAAGAAATGTGACATTAAAAGCATTCATCAATTCATATATCACTTTATATCAATTCAAACATCAGCACAAAACTCAGCCTTGTGGATTCCCTTCATTCACTGCACAAAGGTACTGGGAGAGCCAGGTGGGTGCTACGCATCCACGTGTGGGGCTGAATCAAGATGCTCTGAAGAGCTCAGACTAGCGAGTCAACACAAACAGAAAAGCCACAGCCACTGGCAGAGACGTGGCACACACTGGGTACCAAGTCCAATTGTCACGGGAGCCCCAAGGTTGGTTCTGTCCTTATCCCCACTCTACAAAGAGGAGATTGAGGCACAAAGAGGTAAAGAAAGTTGTTCAGGGTGCAGAGGGGTGGCATCCAACACGTCCAGCTCAGGGTCCAGGGCTTCTGACCACACACCCAGGTACAGGCGATAAACACAGTCCCAGGAAGCAGTGGCTCCCCGGACATGGTGAGCGTGAATGAACTGCAGGGGTCAGGAAGGACTCCTGGAGAGAGTGACTTGTGAACTAAGTTCCGGAGAAGGGCAGGCCAAATCCGACCCACTGCCTGGCTCTGTAAATGAAGCTGTACCCGAATACAGCCATGCTCATTTATGTACGTAATGTCTACGGTTGTTTCTGTGATACATCTGTGAAACTGAGTCACTGTGATGGCAACTCTGTGGCCTGCAGAGCTGAAAATATCCACTCTCTGACCCTCTACAGAGAGTCGCTAACTCCATTTCAGAGAACGCACAGGAAGGCGTCCACGAAGACCAGAGGGAACGCACGCGCGCCAACTCTGCCTTCTCAGGAAGTCCCGCATCTCCCCTTTCCCTGTCCCATCTGATGCCACCACCGCCCCCAGTGCAAACTGACCCCTGCAACCTTCCTCCCCACAAGACAAAAAGAGATCAACCCAAAGATGAAACTGCACCCCCAACACCTTCCCCCTTAAAGCCCTCTGAAGGCCGCCCACTGTTTCTGACAGAAACCCCATCCCTTCACGGGGACCTACCAGGGCCCCATGAGCTGGGCCTGTCACTTCCTCCAGCTGCGTCCCAGACTTCGGGATACATTCCTCCTGCTGTGGCTGCCTGACTCCCATCAATCTGCTCCTGATGGAAACATCTCCAGCTGCCTGCTCAGCTGGTGCAGGCCCCAGGAGCATCAGCCTCATCCCCTCACCACTTTCCTCATCACACCAGCTACACCTTGCAAATGTTTGCTGGAAACTTGTTTTGTTTGCCTCCCGCATGCCCAGTCAAACAGTGGCAGATGTGTGTGGGCAAAAACTGCCCGTCATCTCCTCCAACCCCATCTGCAGCCCATTAAGCCCCTGCTCCATACACACAAAAGAGGTGCTGTTTGCAAATACAGACTCGGGGCTGCTTCCCTGGCCAGAGCCCTACGTCTCTTCTGTGCCCATCCCATAGCTATCATCGCTCCCCAACCAGAATGCAAGTCCCCCGAAGACAGGGACCAAGCTCATGCTGCTCCTTTTATTCCTAGAGCCCAGCACGGCCTCTGGTAGCCAAGACGGACTCTGCATTTGTGTTAAGTAGGGAGGACAAAGCCCATGCAGAGAGGACAGCAGAAGCTGTGGGGAGGCCAGTACAGGCAGAGATCTGAGGAGGCCGGTGGGGACGGACTCTGCTGGTCGCCTGGTTGGGGGGAGCCACATGGTCCTCACATGAAAACAAAGGGTGCTGGGAGCCCCTTGGGTGCCATGGCGACAGCAGGCCAAGCTTCAAGCTCTATTTTCAGTGAGCCAGGGAAGCACGAACCCCCGCAAGAAGCTCACGGTCCCTGTCCCCTTTTGGGATGGACCTGATCGCAGACCCCGAGATGAACAGGACCATCTCAGCTCAGGTCCTAAGACCCACGAGAGTGAGGAGAGGGCTTAGCGAGAGGACACCGGTGCTCAGAGGCAACGGCTCACCTTCGCCAGCTGCGTCTGCAGTTTATTCTTCACGTCGGTCTCCTCGGAGATGCGGGTGTTGAAGGCCAGATTGGTGTCCGTGAACTGCTTCCACATCTGATCCGACAGACTCTCAAAGAGGTGCTCGGCCTCCTCCCACAGGCGGATGGAGTTGGCCCGCATGTTCTGAGAGTGCTTGATGTTGTCGTTGCTGAACTTGGCCCAGGTCTCAGGCACAGAGACCCTGCAAAAGGTGCGAGAGCAACTTTAACATGGGCGAGGAACCAAGAGGTTTATGACAGGCCTCAGAGACCTCCGTATCTGGGGTTTCTCAACCTTAGCCTTTGGAATAGGAAATCCTCTCGTGAGGGACCGTCCTGTGTACGGTAGGATCCTCAGCAGCACCCTCGCCCACCCAGCTGTGACAACCTCAATGTCTTCAGACACTGTTAATGTCCCCTGGGGTGGGGGGGGGACTCAGCCCATTAAGGACAAATGTCCTGATCCTGATCCAACCCTATCTTTTACAGGACAGCTGCCTAGAAGGGGCAGGTGACTTTCAGAAGAGCATTCAGTGAGTTAGCAGGAGAGGAGGGCTACCTCAGGGAGCTCTTCCTGCCCGCCATGACCACCAAAACACAGCCAGGCCAAGAGGTGGCTCCGTTGCTGCAACCCTCCAGGAAGCCCGTGGCCATGCTACTCTCACTGACTGATTCACCCGACCAAGTGGGTTTTGTTCTTGGGGGTATGTGGGATGCTGTTGCTGTTGTTGTTATTGTTAGGGTTGTTTTGTGGTGCTGGAGATGGAACTCAGATCTTTGTACATGACAGGAATACTCACCACTGAGCTACACCCCCAGCCTGCCCTGCCAATGTGTTTTGCACCCCCACCGCAGACCAAGCATTGTCCTAGGCGCTTGGGATAGAGTTCTGACCAGAAACACCCACCCTCAGGGTGACTGACATCCAGAGGAGGAAGAGGACAACGCACAGTGGAGAGATTTACATGCTGATTTATGTGCACTGAAGGAACCTAGAAGAGGGCCGAGGAGAGATGATGGGGTGCGGTCTCTATGTGTTCTGGGCGTAGTAAAGGGAACGGGTGAAGTACAGCAGCGCCCTTTACTCATGGCTTTGTTTCCTGCTGTTTCAATGACCCGAATTCAACTATGGTCTGAAAATATTACATGGGAAATTCCAGACATAAACAATTTACACGTTTTAAATGAAATGTATCACAGTATCTTGTTCTAATCATCCTAATATTTTAATAGTTATTGTAGCTATAAACTAAACGCTATCATATAAACTGTGTATATAGTGGGGAAAGTGGCACATATAGGGTTGGGGACTATTCATGATGTGAGGCTTCCACAGGGGTCTTAGAACTGCCCCTGTGGATGGGGCCCTGCTGCTCTCAGATGGGTGTTACGATGCTCATGCATTCAAGAATGCATGGTGCTGTCACCGCCCTAGCTGAGAAGGACAAGAGAGGAGGAGCAGTAGGTAACACAAGAGCCTGAGGAAAGAAGAGGCCAGCATGGACCACAGGCCTTGGGTGGCCTGTCTTCTGAAGGTTGGAAAGTCAAAGGTAGAGAGCCCAGGAGAGACGGACTGCTGTGGACAAGCGGAAGTGACACAGGCTACACCACTGAGGCAGGCAGGAGGGTCATGGAGGTGGTGACCCGGAAGGACTCAGTTTAGATAACACCAAGCTCTTCTGGGCAGAGCATGGGAATCCTTGCAGTGAGCAACCAAGGGATCTTTCCAGGCTCCTCCTCCAGGAAGCCCTTGAGGAAGGACACTATTCCCCTGAGCTGGCTCCGTCCTGGGTAAACCAGGCTAGATAACTTCTCCAGGTCTTTTCTTACGTGGGGAGAACTCCATTTTTTTTAAAAAAAGCAGATTTTTATTCTCAAGCAGCAGGGAAAAAGGAACCCAATCCTCTGAAATATGAGCTATGGATCTCTTCAGACATTTTAAAGCTCACTTCAGTTTGTATGGTGAGAATTTTAAGTCACGTGGATGTGTGACTGCTTTGCCTCACTTTTGCTGGCGTTGAAGTGAAACAACAGGCAGGTGTCTTGGGCTTCTGAGGAGAGGGCCCTGCTCCTAGGACCAAGCCTTCCCCAACTATGAGTAGAGCCTCAGAGAGAAGTGTCTCATCCAAGGTCACACAGCTGCTTGTCATCCCCAGAATACAAAGGAGGGAGGATGGACTAAGGGGAGCACGCACTCTGGGCCCACCTACCACAGGAATGGGACACTGTCAAAGTCACAAAGCCAGCCTCTGAGACCTTGGCCTCCCCTGCAGAACACAGCTGAGCTCTCCAGAGAAAAGAGCCCACTTAGTCACATTCTGCCCAGGGCAATCTGCCTAATCCTCTCCTCCCAGTCAGTGTGTCTCAGTGGGGGATCTCCTCCCCCACTCCTCTGAAGACCTAAGGGACAGCAGCCTTTGCTGGAAGACGCACTGGCAAACTCCCAGGCCCATGGTCCCAGTGTGGGCTCGGATCACAGCTCTGCCACTTGCTGTGTGAGCGTAAGCCAGTCACCTTGCTTCTCTGAGCCTTAGGTTCCTCATTGAAATTAGGGATGATTATGGTTACCTACCCAAGGTTGCTGGCTACATGTGTAGTTCCTATCATGGCAGCAGACACATAAGCACTCGAAGGGTGATTATTATCCATGTGGTACAGTACGGAAAGCTCTAAACACAGTGTCTGGCACACAGCAAACATCAGCTAAAGGTCTCTACTGTCACCAACATAATCACTGGTTCATTCACGGCAGTGAACACAGACACTGCAATCCAGTCGCCCAATATCCTCTAATTAGCCCAGACATGGTCTTGCTCTAAAAACAAACAAAAAGACAAAACAAGTACGGGCTGGGGATGTAGCTCAGTGGTAGAGCACTTGCCTAGCAGCGTGAAAGACCCTGGATTTGATCCCCAACATCTAAATAAATAAATAGAAAAGAAAACCTCACATACAAAGTCCTCAGCTAGCACATCAAGGGAGCAATTAGTCACCATAAACAACAGCTCTCACTTTCCAGCTTGGTGGGGAAGGAAGTAGCAGCCCCTCCTGGGTATGGAAATGGGGCTCTGCCAGCCAGCTTGCTGCCAGGTTTTCAGGGAGGCATCTACTTGGGAAGAGACACCCCCCTGGGCTCCCTGTGCAGATGGGCAGCTGGGGGAGCTGAGCCCCCGAAGTCTTGGTCCCCTTGCTAGTAACCCTGGGGGATTCACCAGGAGTCCTCACTGCTGGAAACCGCAAAAGGCCATCTCAACACTTCCACTTTGTTCAGATTCCTTCTCTTTCCTTCCTTCTCTCCTCCCGCTGGCCCTTTGTTCCCTCCTTTATACCTTTCATTCCACAAATATTTATCATATACATACATGTGCCAAACGTGATGCTATGTAAGAGACGGAAAAGTGAGATGGAGGTAGAACCACAATAGACCCACCCCTTTCCCTTTGCCTATCCCGAGCGTCAGCGCCCCCCAACCCCTGTTACAGAGACCTCTCACTGTGGCCTGGGAAAGCGCGTTTTAATTCTCTGCGTGCCCCTGACTGTGCCAGGCCTGAGACCCAGCTCACAGCTGCCAGTACCGCAAAATGAGGCCACACAGAAAGCATTCAATAAAGATTCACTGTTACTATTCTACACCAGGTTCTGTGCTTCCTACTTCACATGCCCACCTTTGTATATTCAAAGTACTGAAGTGGGTACCATTCTCCTTCCAACGGTACAGACGCAGGCAGTCCAGACATTAAATAACTTGTCCGTGGCGTTAGTTTGTGTGGGGGGATGTGAAGCTAGGCAGCCTGGTTGCAGAATCCACTCTTTTACCCCTCTCACCACCAGCGGGCCTCAGCTGGCTTTCCTGAAACTCCTGCTCCCTCCGGCCGCAGCCATCTTGCCTTGGTATCTGTCTGGGGGGATTGTTTACGCAGGTGCGCCAGCCACTGGGGCCAAGCGGCGGTGGCCACGTGACCCTCACTGAGCCAATCACAATTCCTGCTTCTCCGCAACTTGGATCATGAGCAAGGTAGACCAAGGATGGAAAGACAGTGGCACTGTGATAACCTGGTTGACCAACTCACACTCCCTGGCTGGTCCAAACTGCCAGAACCTTCCCTTCCGGCTCCCCCTCAAGTCTGTGGCCACAGGCTTCAGGTGCATTCATTTCGTTTTGTCCTAAATTGGCCAGATGTGGATTTTGTTGCTTGTGACAAAGGCACCCATTTAGTCACACCGCCTCTCACTTGGCTGGCACGTGACACCCTCTGTCACTCCTTGGCAGGAGCCGGAGCCCTTACTCCCTTTGGACAGAGCGCTGGGTGCTTACGTGCCATCAACTTTCTCCATGCCATGGAAGTAGCTGATGCAGTCTGACGTGTTTCTCAGGTTGAAGCACTTCTCATCGATGAACTGGGCTGAGTTTTTGTCCTCAAGGTCCCTCTCCAGAGCGTGCTGAGCATCTCGGTTATCCCTGAGGGGAGGAAGGATTTGTCCATAGAGCATGCAGTTAACCCAGCCCCCACCGGGTCACACACAGCAGGTGGGTGCAGCACCAGGACTGCAAGCCTAACCCTTGGACACCAGGAAGGTGCTCTGTCTATCCCAGGGCTTCTCAACTGCTTCCCAGTTTGACCTTCCCACCATGCACCTGGAGGCAACCCACCTACAAACCTCCCTCAGTCCAAACATGCCTGCCTTCTTTTAGCGCAGGAGTAGGTAAGCATCTAGTGCAGGTGGCCAGGTAGTAATTATTGTAGGTTTTGTGTGTCCTATGGTCTCTGCTGCAATGACTCAGCATGCACAAAAACAGTGACAGGTAATAATGCATGGACATGGCTTTGTTTCAATAAAACTTTATTTATAAAAACAGGTGGGGGGCCAGATTTGTCCCTCAACTGCTCACTGACACAATTTAGAGGACACGAATATACACTTTGAGCAAACCCTGCAAGTCAAATCATTTCACAAATCAATCACTGGGAATGATTCTGTGCTGAGCACAGAGGGATAAGACAGAAATAAGACCATTACTCAGATTTGCATACAAAATGCAGCAAAAGTAAATATAGTACAGAGTAGTAACAGAAACAGTAGAAGTGTTTAAAGAATGTAAAGAAACAGAGGAAGAAACCATGAACTCGGGGCAAGAGAGTAATCCGGGAGGGCTTCCTGAGGAGGTGTCTAAACAGGATTTTTTTCATAACACACAGGCATAGATATGGACAAAGTTGCAAGGAGGAATGAGAATTCCATGCTAAGGACCATCAGTGCAAAAGCTGAGATGTTAGAATCAAGACTTGTCATGTAGAGGTACAAGATCCCAACAATGAATGTAACTGTACTGTATCTCTAAAATGTACCAATAAACTCAATTAAAGCTGAAAAAATAAATAAATAAATGTGCTTTAAAAGGAAAATTTATATTCCTGTTTTTAAAATAATACCTATATCTATTAATAGAATGCCTCTTTGCCTTTCCTGTCTCCCCTCTCCCCTTCCTGTGTCTCTGTCTCTCTCTAGCTCTCTAATCTTTGTCTCTGGCTCTTCTGAATTGGTTTTCCTCCATCTCAGGGCTTCTGTGTCTATCTGTATCTCCCGCTTCTTCTGCTCTATTTGCTTCTCTCTTGGTCTCTTTTTTCTCTGCTATGGATATCTGGCTGCTGGTGAGGGGTTTCCACAATCCAAGAACAAGGAAATAAGATCCTAACCGTGGGTTCCCACCTATCAGGATCTTCAGGAGGTCATGTCAGGGCAGGAGGAACCGTCTGTCCCTGGCCTTCAGGCTTTCCAAATTGGCAGAGCTGCAGAGAAAATGGGCCCCATCCTGTCTAATGAACTGAAGAGTGAGAAAGACCAGACCGTGGAGAGCAAACATGTCAGCGCAATGGGCCTCCAATCCAGCGGCTCCAGCTACCCGGCCCTTGCTAATGAGGCCTGGGGAGGAGGAGCAGCCCCCTACTTGGCAGAGATAGAGAGCCTAGCCAGTGCCAAGCCACCCTGGGTCGGCCCACCAGAAAGGGCCCCATCTGGGCTCCTCTAGGGTCAGGAAGAGCCGTTCAGTTTCAGCTCCACTGGGGCATCTAGCATGGTGAGGACACCGCCCTCCCCAGATGTGGGCTTTCGGCAGCGCCCACAGCCAATAGCCCAGCACTCGCTGGTCTGAGGCCAGCCACCTGTGCAGGTCAGCAGCGGAGCTGCCGCAGGAGGGAGGACACACTGAGCCTGCCAGCTAATAAGCTGCTGAAGTTCCAGGTTAATTACAAAATCTCAATCCTACCAGCAGCTTGAGCTGCCTCCCTGGAGGTGACAGGTATCCTCTCAGCAACAAGCTGGTGTCCCAAAACAAACTGGCTCTGTCCGGGGTAGCTTAGCTTCTGTCCCTGTAAAGAAGAATGGCGCCACCTGCTACCCTCTCCTCTACTGGTTCTGCTCTTCACCTCTCCCTTTGTCCCTCTACCTCTGCTGCTCTGTCTCTGACCCAGCATCACCGCCCCCCTTCCTCTTTCTCCATGTCCTCTCCTCTCCAGCTCTTTGTTTTTCTCTCACTCCTGACTTCTCTGCCCAGCACGTCTGTGTCTCTGTCCCTCTCTGTCTCTTTCTCTTTGTGTCCGTGTCCTTCTGGACACCAGTGCTTGTTCTCTATGTTCCAGTCTCCACTGGCCTCAGTTCTTCCTGCTCCTGCTCCAACTGTCTGGGGAGCACACAAGGCTCCCCACCGCAGTCTTTTCCATTACCTTCCAGGGGCCAGCTCCCAGCTTCAAGTTTGGGCCTTTGTTCACTTTACCAGTTCCAGCTTGAACTGTTCCTTTTCCCAAACCTCAGCCTGTCACCCTAGCACCATGTGGATTAGTGTCCCTATGTCGGCCACAGATGGGCACTGGGTGTCTCTTGCCATAAATAGGAGATCACAAAATTAAAGGCAAGAGAGAAGAGAAGAGAATCCAGAAATAAACTGGTGAATTTATGGTCAGTTGATTTTAAACAAAGGTAGCAAGAACACATAATGGGGATAGGACAAACTCTTCAATAAACAGTTTGACCACCAGTTATCCACATGGAAAACAATGAAATGAGGTGCCTACCTCACATCATATTATGAAGAATCACCGCAGAATGGATTTAAGACTGACATGTAAGAGCTGAAACTGCACACACACACACACACACACACACACACACACACACTCTGTCAACATGTGACACAGGTTGCATATCTGAGATTTTAGTAAGAGGTGATAAGCTGGGGGAAGCGTGAATATTTAATGACTACTTGTTTGTTTAAATTAATGAACACTTACCTTTCTGTGTGTATGATGGTGTCAAAGTTTGATTATGTGGGTGTCTGACAAACTGAGACGCTTGCAGTTTGCTCAGTTACAGATGGGAAGTAGCCCCGTGTCTGCTTCTAACTGTTAGAATTGTCAGGTCAGGTCCGAACCATCATTCTTTTGTCCAGTGGGGATATAACTAACTTTCAAGCTTTTGGTTTGGGAGTTTGGATAGGTTTGATTTTTGGATAGGTAAATAGTTGGTTACTAAATTTGGTCAGATTTCTCCTGACTGGCTGTTCCTAAAGTCTTAGGATATGTCCTAGTAAATTACACTTTGTGAATTGTCATGTGTAATTGTTGCATTTCAGAAGTACCTAATTTCAATTTTTTTTTTTTTTTTTTTTTTGGTACTGGGGATCAAACTTGGGTCTTTGTGCTTGCAAGTCAGGCTGCAGAACCACTGAACTAAATCCCCGGCCCTAATAAATTTTAAAAATATTTCCATTTAAGCTATCGGTTTGCAGGTCAGAAAATGAGAAATGTAATTTTGTAATGCTCTGAAATGTAAAAAACAAAAACAAAAAAAGCTGTAAATAAAATAAACTAAATCCAAAAAGAAAAAAATCTGAAGCTATGAAGCAGTAGCTAGAAGAAAATGCAGGGGGAATCTCCATGGTACTGATCTGAGCTGTGTGTGCCTGTGTGTGTGTGTGTGTGTGTGTGTGTGTTCGTGTGTGTGAGAGAGAGACAGCACAAATAAAAACAAAAATAGACAAATGAGCTCACAGCAAAGAATTCAGTCAACAAAGCAAAGAGAAAACATACAAAATGGGAGAAAATATTTGTAAGCCACATACCTTACAATGGGTCACTGTCCAAAACATATAAGGAACTCAACAGCAAGAAAAAAACCGGATTTTATCAATGACAAAGACTCTTAATAGGCATTTCGCAAAAGAAGACATACAAATGGCCAAAGGCTTGTGAAACAAAACTCAGCATCACTACTCGTCAGAGAAATGTAAATGAAGACCTTAATGAGGAATTACCTCATAACTGTGGGAACGGCTGTTATCAAACAGATGCAAGGTAACGAGTGTTGCTGAGCACGTGGAGAAAGGGGAACCTTTGCACCCTCTTCGTGGGGATGTAAACTGGGGCGACCACTATGCAAAAAGAGCTTGGAGGCTCCTTAAAAATTTTAAAATAGCAAGGCACGTGACGCACAGTCCCACTACCGGGTGTATCCGGAGGGAAGGGAACGGGGATGCTGTGTCCCGTGCTTACTACAGCACTGCCATGACAGCTGAGATGTGGACTCGACCTCAGTGTCCCCACCCCGACGGAGGAAGCAAATGTACAGCGTGCACACAACGGGACACTTCTCAGTCTCAAAGACAGAACGGAACCCTGCCGTTCGAGACAACACGGACGGCACCAGAGGACGCTGCGCTAAGTGCGATAACCCAGGCGCAGGAAGGTACCACAGGGGCTCAGTTACACGTCGAATCTCAAAACATTTAATCCACAGAAGCAGAGAGGAGAATGGTGGTAACCAGGGGCTGGGGGCAGGGTTGGTGCTGATCAAAGGATTCAAAATGCAGTTAGAAGAAATAAATTCAAGAGGACGATTGTGACAACGTGGTGACATAGTTAGTAACCACGTATTGTATTCTTTTTTTTTTTTGTACCGGGGATTGAACTCAGGTCCTTCTGCTTACAAGGCAGGCCACGGAACCGCTGAGCTAAATCCCCGGCCCAATATATTGTATTCTTAAAAACTCTACGCAGTGAATTTTAAGAGGTCTTACCACAAAAATAAGTATGTAAGGCAAGGTATATGTTAGTTATCTTAATTGAGCCTTTCTATTACATATAGATATTTCAAAACATTACGGTGTGGGGCCGGGGATTTAGCTGAGAGGTTCTGCTGCCTGCCTTGCAAGCACAAAGACCTGAGTTCGATCCCCAATACAAAAAAACAAAAAACAAAAAACAAAAAAAAACAACTATGGTGTGCATGATAAATATACTTTTTATCAATTAAAAAGTGAACAAGCAGACTTAAAATTAAGTGCAGCAAAAATATAACAAAGCAAAAACAATGGCCCACTCAAAGCTTTCCCTTTGTTAAAATTTGCCTGTTCAAATACCAGTACTGAAAATTTTGTTTTTGTTTACTTTCTTGGTTTGGGGTTGCTTGTTGTGTTGGTGCTGGGGATTGAATTCAGGACCTTGCGCATGCTAGGCAAGTGTTCCACCACTAAGCTATACCCCTGGCAATTTTTAAAATAAAGACATTTATAGACAAACGTAGGTAATCCATAGTCCAGGTGGTGGGTGGAATGGCCGAAAATCACGACATGCAAACAAAGGAACTCAATCCTGCTTTTGTCCTTCCTGTCCCTCAGTGTGGTGCAAGAACCCAGGACCTCATGATGCTAGGCAAGTAGCCGACCCCGAGCCGTACTCCCACACCTGCTCTTTCCCTTCCCACTGTCACTTTGTATGGGAATCTTTCCTGCACCCCTCCACCTCTGCTGTCCCTCTGGGTCACCCCAACTTGCCTGCCTTTGACCACACACTCATCTTCAGGTGGCCTTTCTGCAATGTCTTTCCCTGGGCAACTCCCCTTCGCCTCTGACCCTCAGTTCTGACCCCTCAGGAGAGCGGAAAGATCCTGGAAGAGGGGGCGACTGCTGTTTCTGGGCCAAGCCAACCAGGACTCCAGCTCCCAGAGCCCGTCTGCATGCTGCCTTAGCCCTCTGTACCCCAGCAGGCTGCCCCTGGCCGCCACCCAGCAGGAAAGGCAGCTCTGGCAAGGTTGCCAGCAGCCCCTGTAGAGGCAGCGAAGAGGGAAAACCAGCAGAGCAGCGTGCCCCGAGAGAGTTAAAGGTGCGCCTGGCTGCGGGGCCAGGTGGGGAGGCTGCCTCTGGGGAGCTGGGGGCCCCAAGCCCTTAAAACTCAGTCCTCTCTTTAATTACAAGAGGGGCCCTGTGGCTTGCCATGACACTACCTACATCATCTTCCAGCAAGAACAAAGAAACTGATTGCTTTTGAAGACTCTTAGCTCAATGCGTTCACCAGCTCCCTCCTGGGGGTACCCTGGTCCCACACTTTGTTGCCTAGTGCCACCTACCCTTGGCTATTTCTCTCGGTTCAAAACTTGCTGGGGGAAGCCACTGACAAAGTGGGGCCTCAGGAAGGCCCAGTTGCCTTTGGCCAGGCCCTTGTGGCAACCAAGAGAAGAAACCAGGGGGGTCACTGGGGCCCACAGCTCAGGAATATCCCTTTGGTACCCTGAACTAGCAGCATTTGCACCACAGAAATTGACAAACCCTACACAATAGGACTGTCTTTTTGATGTTCTTCCTCAGAGCTATTTTTTTGTTTGTTTGTTTCTTGAGATAGGGTCTCACTATGTAGTTGAGACTGACCTGGAACTCACTACGTAGCCCAGGCCGGTCTCGAACTCACAGCGATCCTCCTGCCTCAGCCTCCAGAGTGCTGGGATTACAGGCTGAGAGCTGGTTGTTAAACATTTAGCAGAACACCACTAGCCAAAAGAACCACCCCAAAACAAGTGGACCCATCTGTCTAACTCCTGAAACCTGGAAGCCACAAAACAAACCCTAAGGGGCTGGGACAGAAAGAATCCATTACCGCATCTGGATATCAACTCTTTGAGCGAACTGTCTCATCCGTTCTTGGCAACATTTTAGCAAATCTACCTCCTGAAACGAAAAACATCAGAAACAGAGGACATGGGTTAGAAGCTCACAGGTCAGAACCTTCATCCCTGCCTCCCACTGCCTGCCCTTGACAAGCACCAGCAGAAGGCCAGGGTTGGGTTCCTGTCTCAGTCCATAAATGACAGGGCCACACGGCTCAGTGTCAGTTGTGGAGATTTTACATATATGGATAGAGAGATGTAGATATCAGAAAATATATTTATGTATCCATTAAATTAAGCAATGCATACAAAGTGGTATGGGAGATGCTTTTATTATTGGTAGTGGTGCTGGTATCATTAACTATTTATTTACTTATTTTATTTATTTTTGGTTTCTTGAGACAGGGTCTCACTATGTAGTTGAGACTGACCCGGAACTCACTATGTAGCCCAGGCTGGTCTCGAACTCACAGCGATCCTCCTGCCTCAGCCTCCCAAGTGCTGGGATTACAGGCGTGCGCCACCTTGCCCGGCTTGGTAGTGGTATCATTATTGTGCCCATTTTGGAAAGGACAAAACTGAAGGTCAAATAACTCCATTTCCCCCTGTTCCTCACTGCTGCCCCAGACCCCCACCATGCTTTCTGAGCCCCAACTTTCCACAGGGTACAGGCATGGTTCTGTGCCCAGTGGGCACCTCAGGACCTTTCTGAGCAGCTGGCCCTTCCTCCCCTCCCCTCAGGGGGCACCTTACCCGGATGAGGTTCTTCTCCACACTGTCATGGACCAGGTCTATCCCGATCCTTTTCTCACGAAGGTATAGACACTCCAGGGCCACCTGTAGGAAGCAGTGCCACAGTGTATGCTGTCCCCGCAGCTGGCCCGGGTCTCCCTTTGCCATAACCTGTCCTTTCCTCTGGCTGCTTCCTGTGGCCTCTTCGCCGCACTATGGCGGCGGGGGCTGTGGGATGCACTGGCCAATGCCCTGGGAGATGCAGGACACGTGAAGCAGAAAAAGGCACTGTCCTGGGAACCATGAATGGCAGTGCAGACTAACGCTCCTATGATCTCCATACACTGCCCAAACCTTCTGAAATTATAGTAATAACTACAGCAAACCTCCACTATAATTTCAGATGAGACGGTACCAGCTGCTGTCCCCTTGCTGGCTGTCTCCTGGGTTCAAATCCAGGCTTAGCCACCTCCTACTGAGTGCATGTGGGCAGCTCACTAACCTCGCTGCTCTGTTTTCTCATCTGCACATGGACGCAAGATCGGTGCGTGTCTGTCAGATTTAGTGTGCAGACTGTGTCATCTCGGTAAGTGCAAAGCCCCCAGAACACTGTCCAAAAATCCGGCCGGTGAATATATGTGGAAGTTCCTCTTTGGAAAGTGGTCAGAGCACAATGAGACCCAGGCAAGTTGGCCTTCCGACTCTGTCAGGGACCTCAGTGGAGCAGCAGAGGAGAGGCGAGAAAGGCCTGCTCTGCTTGCCACAGAATGGTAACTGGCCACCAGCCTGTGACATCACGAAGAGCCACGGTGGAGCAGTGGATGTCAGGAAGCAAATGCCCCTGGGACCCTGGAAAGAAGAGAGAGTCACAGACTCGCCCTCCAAGAGCCTGGGAGCCCTTCTTCTGAGTCATGCTTGAGGGCAGTATGGGGGGTACACATTGAAGCAGACAGACAGAGTCCCTGCTCTCACGCAGCCTGCATTCCAACAGAGAGGAGACACGATCATTTCTGCGAAAAAGGGTGCAATGAAAATAATCACAGTTCTGTCTGTCGGCAGGGAGTAACTGGCAGGGTGGTCGGGGAGGATTTCTCTAGGAAAGAAACACATTGAGACTTGAATCATAAGCAGTAGAGATGTAAGAGATGTGTGGGAATAAGGAGCAGGAAAGGGAAGCACAGGTGCAAAGGCCCTGAGGTCAACGGGGGAACAGCAGAAACCCAGAGACTGGAGTAGGGAAAGTGAGGCTGGAGCAATAGCACAGGCAGAGTTACAAGGGTGGGATAAAGGAATTCACAAATTAAGCTGATGAATTCTGAGAAGCCACTGATGGAGCCAGCGAGGGTATGTCAAGACCCACTTTGATGTTTAAAATCACCCCTGCTGCTGGGAGCAGGTTGGAGGGAGCAGAGGTTGGAAGCCTGGGGAAACAGTGGTCACCACTGTCCAGTGAGAAGCTCCTGGACAGAGGAGGAAGGCTAGGAGAGGAGGGAAGTGGGTAGAACTGAGGCATCTCTGGTCTCTGTGCTGCAATCAAAAGAGGCCACATGTGATCAGGCAGAGCTGGGCTTTCCAGACAGGCTGGGAGTCAGAGTGGGAAGAGAGAGCAACCATTCAGGTGCTATCGCTGCAAGGTTCTGAGAAGCTGCCCTGCTCCTTCCCGTGCCAAGGGACACTGGGCGGGGGAGGAAATCCGGGGACTCCCTCCCCAAGTGTGTCTGGGAATCCCACAGTGAACGAGGCTGTCTCCCAGGGAGATCTGGAGGCAGGACCCCTCCTACCAGAGGCTCCGCAGCATGGAGCAGAAGCAGCTGGAGGAGGCTTCCAGGCAGGAGGTCTTGAGTCCCCCAAGATCAGTTCTCGTAGCATGAGGCAGACATGGCTGTTTCCTACCTAGTGTCCATGTGACTCCTTCTGCGACCTTCTCCAGGTTTCAAACAAAAACGTTTGCTTACCCAAACCTCTCTGCAGCCAGAGAGCCCCTGAAAGTTCTTGCCAATGAGCTAAAAAGGATAACACAGGCTGGGCCTTCTGGAAAAACAGACATTCTCTGATAGCCAGAGACAGACACAGTTGACATTGCCTGCCCTTTGCCCTACCCCACTTCCTGCCTCCAATGAGAGTAGGGAAATGCTCCTTGCCTGCTGGCACTTGTCATACGAAATATGAAACCTCCTTGCAAGCAGTAGGACAAAAGCCACAAGCTATGGATGGCAGAATGGAAAGATAGGAGCCTGGTCCCTCTGGGCAGCAAGCTGAGGCTGCAGCAGCCTGATCAGCCTCTGTCTGGAATTCTTACGATGATGGAAAAAATAAATTCCTGCGAGGCTAAGCCACAGTCATGGAGTATCTGTCACAAGCAGCCAAAAGCAATCTTAACTGCTCCAGGCATAAGCAGAGCCTGGGACCCAAGGAAGCGTCAGGCACGGCCACAGGAGCCAGGCATGGTGAACACCAGAGCTCTCGGAAGCTGAGGCCTGACGATGGCACGTTGAAGCGCAGCCCGGGCAACTGAGAGGACTTCGTGAGAGCCTGTCTCAGAGAGAAGTCTTCCAAGGCCTGCAGAAGTAGCTCAGTGCGAAGGTTCTGGGTCCAATCCAAAGTACCGAGGGACCAAATAAAAAAAGGAACATCTACACCAAGGCTAACAAACGTTTGTTGTATGCCTTACTGGGTGTCACACGGCCTCCTAGACTGGGAGCACAGACTGTCCATCAGCACGACAGGGATACTGAGGACCCACAGACAAACTAGTGCAGACAGGTATCAGTCCTGAACATGTCAGCGATAAAACAGACAGAAGTCACTGCCCCGGTGCAGCCTATACCCTAGCAAAGGCAGATAAACAATTTATAAATTAACCCAGAGTACGGTAGAAGATGGTTAAGTGTTACAGAGAAAAACAAAGCAGTTATCTTAAGTAGGCCCTTTAAGGACTATCACACACGTACACAGGCATGTACAAGCGTGTGCACAGTATCTTGCTGCAGTTCCTACCCAAAGGTCAGAAAAACTGGATTTGGTCTAAGAAACCCTCCTTTGAGATCCTGAGTTGACTAAAATTACGTTTTTACCTTAAACATCTGACCATATATCATGATGCAGCTCAGAGAGACTTGCAGTGGGCCAGAGATGCAGCTCATGGTGCCACGCGTGCCTGGCAAGTGCAAGGTCCTGAGTTCGATCCCCGGTACCGCAAAAACCAACCAATCAACCAAACCAAAAAACCAAATCAGACCAGTGGTGTGCTTGTCACCTCGATCTTCAGTCAAGTCAGAGAGAGCCAGGACACAGGCCTCAGGGCCCTGGCACTCACCTGCAGGGGACAATTCACCTCCTCAGCCGCACACTCCAGCCGCCTCTTGACGGTCTCCAGGTTGCGGTACTCGGCCAGCAGCCGATCCAGCTCGTAGCATAACTCGGACTTCCAGAAGCCAATGTCCGACAACCTCTGGCCCAGGTTCCAGGAGGTTCTCTTCTGCATCTGGCATGTCAGCTGCTCCTTGTCCTGCATTAGCTGCATGGAATCACCTGTCAGGCGGCTGGCCCACAGCCGTGAGGCCTCCGCCCCGCGGATCTGCAGCTGGTTGGACTGGTCCCAGTCATGGGGACTGTAGCGACAGAATAGTGCAGAGCGGAGCGCAGGCAGGACAGTGGGTGGACGCTGGGCGCTGCTGCGACACTCAGTGGGACAGGTCTGGGCCGTGGAAATCTTGTAGAACAGGCTAGGTCTCCATGAGTTGAGGTAGCGGTACCCGGGCAGATGATAAGGCTGGTAGCACTCCTGGATCACGGGGGCCTGCACAGTAGGGGGCCTCTGGGTTGAGTCACGGCCTTTCTTGGGGCCGCAGTAACTGGCAGTCTGAGTGGTTCCAAGAAACTCCATCCTTCCCCATCAACCCAACTGGAGCAAAACTCTGCCCAGGGGGCAAGGGAATCACCAGGAAAGGGGCCAGGGCTCCTCCTGGGGACACGCAGAACCTCTGTGACTCAGCACGGTGTCACAAAGGCCCGGGAGAAGAACTCTGAGCCAGGCCCTCACTCACTCGGGCCAGCTGGGGGTCATACTGTCCAAACTGAAACAAGACAAAAACGGGAATTTGAGCATCACAATCTGCAGATCTGGGGATGCAGGAAGTGACACCATATCTGTATCTGTCTGTCCCTCTGTAACAACAAACTCTGTCTGTCATTCGGGACCTAACTTGGCCCAGCGGGAGAAAATGCAATGAAGTTCGTTCTAGTAAACTCAAGCAGCTCAGGGTCAGTTTGGTCAAAGTCAGTTTTTTCTTTCTTTGCTCCCAAGATGGCGTCAGAATGGTCCACCCTACTATGGAATGCTGTTCAGCAGGCAGTGTTCACAGTAACGGGACTGACTGAATCTCAAACATCTCGGGCAAGCTGGAAGTAGCAAGGTGCAAAAGGCTACCTGTTCTGTGATTCCATTTACTTGACATTCCAGAAAGGACAAGTCCGTATGAGCAGAAGTTTGGTCTGTGGTTGCAGGGAGCAGGGCAGAGGTGGAAGAACGCTGGCATCAGCTGCTGGAGGAGGGGAGTGTCGGAGCCATTCTACGTAATTTTGGGGAAAAAAAATCATTTCACAATTAAATTATGATTAGGGCTCTCTGTCTTTTGGGGGTGGTGGTGGGGGTAACCAGGAATCAAACTCAGGACCTTGCGTTTACCAGGCAGGTATGGTGCCACCGAGCTAAATTCCCAGCCCAGACCTAGGGTTCTCGTCTGCAGGCCAGCTATGGGATGCGGAAACATAACTGTTGTTTCGCCTCTGGTCACAGCTGAAGCCTCAATGGTCCTGTGTTGCTGGGACACTCAGGGGCAGGACTGCATCAAGTGAAGTCATCCTGCTTCTCTGGGAGAAAAGTAATACAAAGAGGAAGGTTTCACCTGGGGAGGGACCAATTCCTCATCAGCTTAACTCGTCCCACCCACTGCTGTGAGAACACTGTGCTCCTCACTGTGCTAACGCACGTCAGCTCCTCACTGACCTAAGATCCTCCTCAGCATAAGACCCTCATCGTCATACGGTTACCACCATCCTCTGAGTCATCCCGTACTCCCTCCGATTCTAAGATCCTCATCATTGAGATTATGGCCACCCAGTGAGCCCTCGGATGCTCCCTGTGGACACAGTAAAGCTCGGACTTTGTCTTTGCCCGCTCTGAGGCAGTGAACCCCCATACTGTGAAATTACACAAGTCTCTGTTGTCTTTTTTCTTTAACCCTCATCATCCCCCTTTCCAGGCAGTTGAAGGACTGACCGTCCTCCGATAGGGGAGGAATCTTAGAACAGTCCAAAGAGGGGCCGAAGCATGCACCACTGTGACTCCCGATGTGAATGGCTCTCTGCAGGCCAGAAGTGTCCGGGCCTCACTCACCGGGGCTCCAGGTCACTTGCTTGAAGGACCTAGAGAGCTATGTGGGAACAGACCACACCGGAAGTCTGTCCCTCTGAAGGGAAAGTGAGCAGAGGAGCTAACTCATCTCCCTGTGGGCCATTCAGGAATCTGGTTTACCTCAAAAGCGCAAGGTCCTGAGTTCAAACTCTGGTGCCAAAAAAATGGAATCTGATTTGACCTAAGCAAGGTGGGGCTCCTTAGAGGAATGAATTAATTCAAAAGTTCTGAGGTCTGACTTTGCACACATCACATATTTCTGACAAGCTATTATACATGTATGTGCATATTTGTGTTTGATTTTTTTTCCCTGCTATAACAACTAGAATCTAAGCCAGGGACAGACAGCAGAGCAGAGTACAGGCTGAGAGGAGTTGTAGTTTTATTTGAAAAGTGATTATTTTGGTTCTTACATGAACAATATCCTCAAAATTGAAATGTGGTTTTTGGTTAATTTTCAAAGCTAGATATCTAGCCCAAAACACAATTATTACTGAAGATGGTGTTGCACAGAGGAGGATGTTTTATGTATTTATTTTTGCTTTTTTAAGGCAGGGTCTCGCTTTGTAGTTCAAGATGCTTTGGACTCAGTATGTGGCCCAGTCTGGCCTAGACTTGCGGTGATCATCTTGCCTCAGCTTCCCAAATGCTGGGAACACAGGTGTGCACCATCACACCTAGCTAGTAGGATGTTAAAAAAAAAATGCCCCAGGTGCCCTGCTGCCTGGAGACCCGACACATCACCAGAAGATTGTTTTCTCTCTTAAACCACAATGAAAAACTCCTTTCAGAAATGCCACATGGCTGGCAGAGTCCCCATCTCCATGGGAGATGGAAGGGGAAGCCCTCTGTGTGCCAGGACTGCAATTCCTGATGCTCCCTACTCTTACACCCACCCTTTGGAGACTTCATGCCAGTGTTCTTGGGACCTACTTCCCTTCAGTCTGCCTGGGACCTGCGTGGGTCTGTCTCGGGCTCCCTGGGCTGTCCAGAGTCCTCCAGGTCTGTGAATTTAAAGGAAAAGCCATCTGCGTGCATGAGGAAGATTTCGAGGCTGCCGCCAGGCAATGGCCACAGCAGCCCGGCTGTTGCCGGTGGGCTTCTGCGGTGACGGTGGAAACGTGCTGTCCTGCAGGCCTGAGTTGGTAGCTGGGAATACAGGTAGCTACAGAACACCTGATACGGTATGGTATGGCTCGGCTCGGCAGCAGGATAACAAGAGCTGTAAGTTCACTTAATTTTAATATTTAAATAGCCTCATGAGGCCAGACCAGAGCCTATTGTAATCAGGCAGTGCAGGGCTGGGAATGCTGTGGGTGCTGATGGGGAAGGACCTTGCGGTTTGATGGCTGGGGAGAGGCCAGAGGCAGCAGGAGGGGCCGTGGGTGCAATCAGGGTGGCAGTGGAACAGCTTGGCAGAGGCGTGAGGTGTGCTGGGAGGACCCAGGACAGGGTAGCGCTGGTGGCTTCTAGGCAGGGAGCTAGGACGCAGCAGGGGGACCTTCTGGGTGTGCAGCTTTGTACATTCTGTATCTGAAACCACGACAACAGATCGCCACCTCCAAACACCGCTCAGCTTACAAGTGTGCTGCCCGGCTGCAGGGGAAAGGGCGGAGTGCTGGGCGCTAGTGTGTCCTTGTCCTCTCAACACAGGTGACACCACGGAGGTCAGTGGGGTCAGGGACGGGCCAGCAGTGCGTGCGTGCATGAGTGTGACAGAACTGTGAGTGTGTAAAGGAACGCGGGCAAAGAAGGTCCAAAGTCCTGGGAGAACACGAGTGTGTGTGAGAGTAAGCAGGTGAGAGTGAACAGGAGCGTGTGAGCGTGTGTGTGCATGTGCGTGTGGTGAGACGTGGGTCTGAGGAGAGCAGTGTGCATGTGAATGTGTGTGTAGGAGTGCACGTGTGGGTGTGCGTGGTGTGCGAGGTCAGGCAGGAGAGGACTCCAGGAATACAAAGACGAAGGAGACGCATTACAACCTCGGGGAGCCCAAAGCCGGGGAGCGGCAGGCACGCAGAGCCCCTGGCTGGTGGCTGCAGAATAAGAAGACGGAACTGCTCTGCGGCATGGGGCTTGGGGCACTGCGTGGGTTGGAGAAGCATCTCCTGGGCTCCGGGCATTCATCAGAGCATCCAAGGGGCACCGAATGTTGCTCAGGTGCATCTGAGTCCTCCTAGGTCACAGCGGAGCATCCCGCTGGGAGAACTTCCTGGGGGCGCCCCCTCCCTCCGGGCACAGGTCCACGTGTGTGCACGCGCGCACAGCCAGGGGCCCGCTGAGGTGGACCCAGCACTTCCACACAGACCACGTGCCACCAGACAGTCACGTTGTGAGCACCGCACCAGATCGCTGTGCTAACCGAGGACAAAGGACAGAGAAAGGACGCAGGGCGGGCAGACTCCTGCAGACCAAGGACAGGCGCCACTGCGACTCAGCCAGCGGCACTCCCTGGGCACCCCGTGTGGAGCAGGAATCTCTTCATTACCCTCGCCCTCCTCAGAGGCAGAATTTGGGACTGGAGGTGGCTCTGAGCAGCGCAGAGCGGACCTGCGAAACGGACACACTTGCTCTCACACACGGGGAAGACAGGAAATCCAGAAGGGAGCTGCTTGGCTTTCCGGTCAGGCTTCCACGTCAGTTTATATCATTCAGAAACTAAAACTGTGTACTACAGTGCTGCTTTTTTTTTCCTTCCATTTTGAATTCCAGAAGGCATTTTTCTGGTGCATAGAGCACCAGCACAGGCTGGCATCCCATGACCCAGCAATCTTTCTGGACCTCTGCCTGCAGATGCATGCATGTACGCATGCTAAAATCCCTGCAGAACAGTGTTTGGTCAACTCACCATTTGTGTATTCATCAGTAAAAGCCTAAAAAGACCTCCACTTCCTGTCAAGATGCTATAAGGATAAGTTTTACCATTCTATGTGACACAACTCAAAAAAGGCCCCAGATACATAAACAATGATTTTTGAGACCATGGACATCAGCATGAAGGACAGTGGTCCTGTGAAGTGGGAAACACATCAGGTAAATCCTATGACCTCCCCAGAAGACTGGAAGAAGTTCCAGTTTAAGATATGAGGACAGTGTAACAAAGAGTCCGGCAACCTTGTCAAGGAGATGGAGGGAAGGTTGGTGCCAGTACGGTGGAGAGTAAAGGACACTGTGCCAGAACAGGAAAGGACACGGGAAGAGCCTCAGAGGCCTGCGCAGGGTCCCCCCAGTCTGTAGCTGAGTTCTGCTGAGAGCACACCCCCGAGCAGACAATCCCAGGCTGGGAAATGAGCCACCACAAAGGATCAAGGGGAACGATCCAGGAGCTCACACAAGGCTGGGAACAGTTCTAGATCCAATGGACCACAGTAGAACATCTTATGATTCACATAGTAGCGAGTCAAATACCCTCACGGATTTTGCCTCAATTTTAGGGCCAACGTAGCTCTACACTTGCACCACTTTGGTCCCATTTAATAAAGTTTAAAAGAAAGCCCCAAAATGACAAAAGTATTTCCAAGTAAATTAGCTGTGTCCGGGGGCGGGGGATTAAGAATACTGTACTTGTAAAAGTACAAAGTTTTCAGCAGTCAATAAATTAAAATCCACAATGTCCAACATTCAATAAAAATTCAGCAGATGCACAAAGAAATACGAAGAAGATACAGCCCATAATGAGGGGGAAATCAATCGAAACCAAACCACGAGGACAGATAATACAACTAGTAGAGGGGGAAATGTAAAAAGTTATTATAACTGTATTCCATATGTTCAAGAAGCTAGAGAAAAGATTAGCATACACGGGGAAGAAAATCCTCAACTTCTTTCCCATTTCCAGATTACCTCGAACCTAGATAGAATGCTCCACCTACTGGTGCACTTCGGGAACTGCAGGCACCTCCTGTGCGCCTGGAACAGCGGTGATTCCAAGGGACGCTCCCTGACCACCCACCCTGCTTAGAACACCGAAGTCCTGATGAATCAGCAGCTGTTTTCAGCTAGCCTGACTCGGAGTTTCATCTTCTCATCTGTTTTCCCTCTGTCTCAGTGTCCCCGATTTGTAAATGAAAGTGCAGAACCTGATCTCTGCCGTTGTAACCTACAATCCGAAATTTCCTTAAACAGAAATGCGGGGTCCTTGCTCTCCAGACGGCCTGTCCTTTTTGCCTTGTGTGCAATCCTTTGTCCCCAGAAACCTTGTGAAGCAAATGCTTTTATTATCCCTGTTTCCAGAGGAGCAAACTGAGGCTTAAGGCAGTGGTTTGTCCAATGTCACTCATCCCTGGAGAGGTGCGGTCAGGATTTTCACACATGTCTGAACCCTGACACGCACTGCAAACTCTGAAATCACCTGCCTCGCTCCTCCCCATCTGGAAGAAAGTGGTTTGTCCAATGTCACTCATCCCTGGAGAGGTGCGGTCAGGATTTTCACACGTCTGAACCCTGACACGCACTGCAAACTCTGAAATCACCTGCCTCGCTCCTCCCCATCTGGAAGTCTGTGATCCCGTTGCTAAAAGCCCTCCAGAGCTTTTTAAACATACCCAGACCCCACCTCCAGGTTCTGACCAAACAGTAGGGCATAAGGGACCCCAGCATGAGGAATCTGAAAAGTCCCTCCCCAGGTGACTGTAAGGTGTGGCTGGGCTGAGAAGCCCTGCGACGGCAGGGTGTGCACAGGTGTCCTGAAAGGCTTAGTGCAGGTTTAAGCTTTAATAATTGCAGAAATAAAAACACATTTTCAAAAACTATGCTATTTTCAGAGTAGTTTTACATGTTAGAGAAAAACTGAGCAGAGACCAGTGAATCCCCGTGTATAACCCTTTGCCCCATTATTAAATGTCTTGCATTGCTGTGGTCCACATGTGACAGGTCACATCCTGGTTCACTCTGGGTTCACATTCTATGGCATTCACCAAATGTCAAATGACACGTGTCCACCACGTCAGTGTCACGCCCCAGAATCCCCTCTGCTCACCCTTATTCCTCCCTCCCAAATTCCTGGCTTCTTCCCTGCCCCCAGCTCCTGCTCTTTTCACTGTCTCTATAGTTTTGCAACCGTATTTTTTTAAAAAATCATTTTAAAAGGTAAGACTTTGGTACCTAGTTTTGTGGATTTAAAACACTTTAACATTTAACTTCAATTTTGTTGTCTTAAGCAAAGGGACTGAAATTAATTAAAAATTCAAATCTAGTCCCTCAAACACACAGAACTAAATAAATGTAAAAGAAACTCACAGGCCTCAAATACTGATTTTTGAGGGTTGGTAGCGTTCCTACTTTGGAAGTTTCTAGAACAGAATATTGCGCTCAGACTTCTAGAGCACACTGTGTTCAGGAAGAGAGAAATCAATGAAGTCCACAAGTCAGGAAGGGCTCCGGGAAGGAGAGGCTGTGGAGATCTGTCCGTCATGGGGAATTGCGCAAGGCTGGACAGGCAGAGCGCAGGGAAGAACATTCCTGGCCATGGGCTTGTGGGAGCCAGAGATAGAGCTGACTGCAGGAGAGTCGGGAAGGGTAGAGCGCATCCTTCACGGAGGTACTCAGCAAGAACAGAAGGCTGGAGGGGCAGCAATGAGATGTGGAAGTCACTGACACCAAAAATAGCCACTAAGGATTAATGAGCAGTGGACTGACAGTCTGATTTGTGTGGGGAAAAGGATGGTTAATGAATGGGAGAGACATCACCACAACCGCAGATGTGGGGTTTCCTTCTACCTCCAGCTGAGAAAACTGTACTGCCTACACCCTTTGGGGTATGATCACGTGAGCAATTCCAACCAACAGAAAGTAAGCATCTGGGTGGCACGTGAAAACCATGCTAACTGCCTCCTAAGTGAAGCCACATGAGTGAGCTCAGGTGAAATCAGGAGTCAAGAACCATAATGAGCCATTGTGGGTTTACACAGCTACGTGTGCCACGGTGTATTACACAGCACCTGGTGACTGACACGGGAAAGAGGGGAAGAACTCAGATTTGTGGCTTGAGATCGTAACAAAGTGGGCACCACTGGTAGAGATAAGAAGTCCAAAAGTGGAACTGGTGTGAGAAGAAGTCTGGGCCTTTATGCCTAGCATCCACAGCGTGGACTGGGACGTAGAGATCTGAACCGAGGAGAAATAGGGGCTCGAGACGAAGACTAAAGAATGGCTCAGAGTGGATGATGATGCCACGAAGGCACAGCTGCTCCCCGGGAAGGATGCGGCAAGTGTGACTAGAAGGAGCCATGAAGAGAGCCTCAGGGGGCACTTGCCTTAAGAATGACCACTGCCGGGCAGAGTGGCACCCGTAGCCCCATCACTCCAGGAGGCTGAGGCAGGAAGATTAAAAGTTCAATCCCAGCCTGGGCCACTTCATGACTGACGGAGACCCTGCTTCAAAAATCTAAAAAGGGCAGAAGATGTAGCTCAGTGCTAAGGCCTTCAGTTAAATCTCTAGCACTGAAAGAAAGAAAGAAAGAAGGGTCCCGGAATGGAGTGGACGGAATGACTCTGGTGAGAACGAGGCGCAGACTCCCAGCTCAGCCCTTCTGGTCGAGACCTGGGAATCTGCTTGGAAACCCAGCTTCTACCCTCCTGCTCCCACCAAGAGGACAGAGAATTCCACCGTCTGGAGACAGGGGACAGTCTGGGGAGAGGAGAGAACTGGCCCGAGACGGAGGGGTCTGTTTCATTGTCTTGAACTTGTTGGTGTGGAGGGCTTGATCTTCCTTCCAGCCTGTCAGGTGGAATGAATGTGAGAAGGCTGAAAAGCAGCAGGCATTTCTTCCCTGCACCACACAAAGCCTGGCTGGGTGGGTGGGCCCGAGCGCTCAGCACAGAAGAGATGTAAAGTGGTGTCTCTGCAGAAGACAGCTGAGAGGAACCTGCTAGGAAATGTCCTGAGGGACATGGGCCCTACCTCAGGCCTCTGCAGTGTGACAGAAAAAGACCCCATGGTCAGGAGAGTTCCAGTGCAGCCTGCTGGCTGTGTGCCCTGGGACAGTCACCTAACCTCTCTGAGCTCCACTTTCCTCAGTAAAAGACGAGTAACTTGCATCCATGCTTGCATGTAGGGAATAGCGTTAGGAGTCTGGGCCATATATCAGACTTGGTTGAAATTCTGGCATTGCCAAATCACTGGCTTTATGGCAAGTACTTCTCTGTAACCCTGTGTGCTCTCCTGTAAAACGGAGCTAACAGCAGCTCGTCCCTGACAGGAGACTCCCTCACTCCCTCACTACCCTCCGGGGCCTCGCTCTTGCTGCTTGGTCAGCAGGAAACAGCATCTGCCATGCATATCCAGTTGGTGTCTCCCACTCGGCCTGCGGGCTCTGACTCAGATGTGGCCCCTCCAGGAACTTCCCCGCCCTCTCCACCTGGTCTTCATCTGTCATAGCATTCATCATACCGTAATTACACGATTGTTTATCTGTCTTCCCAGTGACCCTGGGCTGCAGGATGGCAGGGCCCAGTCAGCCTGGAAGCACAAGCCCATCCCTGGCTGCCTGGCCCCGCAAAGGGCTAGAAATAGTGGTAGTGGTGGGCAACCGGTATGGCACTGTTTAATAAATGAGTTTCTATATCCTTAGTGTCTAGAGAAGGTGAAGTCTGGTACTCATCAAAATTTATGCTGTCTAGAAGCAATGATGCTTGAGTAGCTATGACCACATGCAGCACCCAATCTACTGACACTGAGAGCAACTAGGCTCCCCAGGGGTACAGCTCAGGGCCAATGAGAGAGCCTGGAAGATCTTGCATCAGAAAACAAGAAAAGGCTCCCAGAGAGGTCAGGTTAAGGCCCAAAGGAATGGCAGGCACTAGGCTTAAAAAGCATCGCTGGACAAATCTAAGGGGATGGGGGGAAGGTTAACAGAAATAATAATTTACTATAAAACACAGTATTTTTAAAAATTCCCAAGTCCACAGTAAGTCTCAAGAAAAAAAAAAAAAAAGGAAAATTCTTGAAGAGGAATGCTGGTTAAAAAATGTAAAGACAACAATTAGGATTAGGGAGTCACAAATTTCAAGTACCAACATAACTGATTGACACAATGATGCTAAAACCACGGAGCAAAAGGTTGATAGAGAAAGGGATATTCATAGGGTCTCAGCGCGTAATCCGAGAGTGGCTGCTTACAGAGATGGGTCCCATTACCCTGGAGCAACTGGGCAGACAACACCTTTACCAAACGACCAAGCTTCACATTCTCAGTAACAGGACAAACTGGCATTGCGCACCACGTATTCACAGGCAAGTACACACCCAAGTGTGTTCTGAGAAAAAAAAAGAGAAAGAGAAAAGAAAAAGTTTAACTTCACTCTAATCATGGGGCAGGAGGAGACAGAGCAAGATTATGGGGTACTCTATAAGACGGAGTCTTAAAAAACTCTCAATGTAGTGAAAGACTAAAAAATAGAAGGGAGAAGAACTCCTAAGAATTAAAAAAAAAGAGCGAAGAGACTTAATGGGTACTGATTTTCGATTGAATCCAGGATAGGGGCTGCACGGGGTTATTTGGAACAATATGAAATCTGAATACAGGTTGTATATTACCTAGCAGTGTTGCGTCAATATGAAATTTCTTGGGTATGAAAACAGCATTTATGTTACAGAGAACGTAGCACACAATTAGAAATAGCCTCACCTTCCTGGCACCAAATCCACACATGCGCACTGACTCGTCATAGCCGAGACTTATTTGGCGCACTGGAGAGTCAGATTGGGCCCGCGAGGCGGAAATGCGCCACCTCTGGTTCCGGCGAGCGCGTCGACTACAATGGCGACAGGATGGAGGAGGTGCCTCACGGTGAGCTCGCGGAGTGGGTGTGAGTGGCAGGGCTGAAGGAACGCGAGAAGTTCTAACTGTGCTCTTGTCTCCACACAGACTGTCCCGGGGCCGAGAGCGCTCAGGCGGGCCGAGGGGCCTCATGTCAGGGATGCCCCAACCAGCGTTTATGTGCTTCTGGAGCCGGCGCAGCTCCGGACCCGGGTAAGAAAGGGACAAGGCCTAAAAGGGAAGTGAAATGCTCGGGCCCGGAAGAGGCGGGACTTCGGAAGACTGTAGGCTGGATATGGTAGAGTGGGCGGGGAGAGGGGCTTGGCCTGAAGAATGAGTGGTAGGACTTTAAAAGGCGGCAGCAGAGGAAGGGGGGCGGAAATGGGAATGGATCCTGAAATATCAGTGACAGGTGTGAACTCAAAAGAGACATTAAAGAGGGCGGCTGGGCTCGGAAAAATGTCTGCCAGGACGAGAGGCGGGGCCAGAAACTTGAGCGGACTGTAGCCCTTGAAGTCTGAGATGCCTCGGGCTTAAATTCTAGCTCTGCCTGCTGAACAAAATTTTATCTTTCGAGGAGTGAGTCTTTTCCTCCATTCAATAGAAATATATTTTAATCACCTCTTAGGCACAGTGCTCTATGCTGGGGAGACAGCTGTGAACTAGACAGGTGTGGTCCTAGCCCTAGCAGAGTTTGGTTTACTAGGGAAGGCAAACAAATGAGCAAGCAAATAAATAAATTATTGCTGCGGTAAGAACTGTGAAGGACAAATTCCAGGGTGGGGAGGACTCTAACACCTACTTAGAAGGACCTTGAAAAGCAAAAGCCTGAGAGAAGAATCTTGAAGGAGTTCAAAGAGAGACTGGGTTTGATTCTTGGACCCAGTGCAAACTGTGACTTTGAGCAAGCATTTTAACCTCTCTGAGCCTTCTCTTCCTCATCAAAACTGGAGAGAAAAATAGTTACCCCCTAGTATTGTTTTAAGAATTTGAAATAGGATGAAACATCTAAAGCGTAGTAAATGATAGCTATCAGTGACATGCTTATTACAACCCTGCTGCTTAATCAGAATTCCACATCAACAGCACTACTGACATTTGGGGCCAGAGCTTTTGTCCTATGACTTGCTAAATAGCAGCATCTCTGGCCTCTATCCACTAGATCCTGGTAGCACTCTCTCATGGGCATTCAGAATGTCTCCAGACATTGCCAAGTATCCCCTGGAGGATTTTGCCCCAGGTTTTGAACCTGCAGTGTTGTGCGCAGGAGCTGCAAATACAGCAGTGAAGGCTTCAAACAGTCCCTACCCTCATGAAACATATTCTACAGAAGAAGATAAACACATAAACCAATAAATAAGACATTTTAAGGTGTGATCATAGCCTTATTTCCTTTGTAGTACTTACTCTTACCATTAATGAAGTGGCGTCTCACACAGATTCCTTTAAAGTAGCCCCAAGGACTTAGCTTCACCTTGCTCATTGGAAGAGTGACCTTCAGGACTTGTGCAGGAAGTTCATTACCTGAACTGCTTCCTTTGCAGCCATAGAGGAAATCAAAGAGAAAATGAAGACGGTGAAACACAAAATCTTGGTGTTGTCTGGGAAAGGCGGCGTTGGGAAAAGCACTTTCAGTGCCCACCTCGCCCATGGCCTAGCAGAGGATGAAAACACACAGGTGGGACCCTGGGGAACCTGGGTGATGGTCTTTCTGTCTGAGGGCTTGTAACAGCTCTTAGACAACTGATCTTTCAGATCAAGTTGAATTGGTCCTTCGGGTATCTCAGTTCCTGCAGAGAGAACCCGGAACTGCCTGACAGCTGAGGTGTTTCACTGGGTTTCCTAGCCAGGAAATTGGTGGTTAGCTATCTCTCCTTGTACGCTGATAATGTTTTGCATTGTCCCCTTCCTCTTTATTAACCTCTTTCAGCTTTTCTCTAAGCCAAGTGTCTGCAAACTCTAGTCACTGAGCTAAATCCAGCTCATTTCCTGTGAACTAAAAGTGGGCATTTACATTTTAAGACTTTAAAATATTTCCTGTTTGGCCTTTGCAGAAAATGCTTGCTGACTTTGGCACTAGGTTGTTCGTTTCTACCCAAGTGCACAGATGAGCTTGAAAACCCAGATCATCCAAGTGGGATTCTCTGAGTGTCAATTTAAAGGCACAGATGGGAACCAAGAAGAAAAGCTTGAGAGTTGGACAGGTTCTCATCCCATTTCCATCCACACCACTGTCGTGGCCTAGGGCATGTAGCAAGCTCTCTCTGTCTTGGTTTTCTCTTCTGTAAAATAGGGCTTGGGACTGAGTGAGATGAGGGATGTGAAGTACTAGGCTGGAGCCTGGCCGTAGCCAGTGCTCAGTAAATGTCCATGACCGCAGTCGTCACTACTGCTTTACTGTGCTGCTGGAAGATGAAGGGATGATGATTTCTGCTTTAAAGACGTGTTTGTAGCCTGTCCAAAGCACAGTGTTGAGCAGGTGAAAATACACTTGTCAGTTTGTTGTTTTATGACGCAACAGTCTTGTCATCTGAGGGTCAGATGTGCAGTGCCTAGTGGGCTGGTCAAGAAATCAGTGGTGGTGTGTGTCTGTAATCTCAGCTGCCCTGGAGCTTGAGGCAGGAAGATCTCAAGTTCAAGGCCAGCCTGGACAATTTAGTGAAATCCTGTGTAAGAATAAAAAGGGCTGGGAGTTTAGTCCAGTGGTAGAGTTCCCCTGGGTTCAATCCCCAGTACTACAAAGTTTTTTCTTTTATTCTGTTTTTTCAGATCGTGTTGAACAGTGTTTGCTTTTAGAAATTGTCAGGAACAATTAAATAAATAAAATTAAATAGCTGTCTAGGGACAGGCTGTACTCCAACCGGTTGTGAGTAATCAGCTGTTTACATCACTCTCTCCTGTAGCATTCCATTCCCATGTCCTCATTGCATACATCCAGCAATGTGGTGAAGGAAATCTACCATCCAGTGTGGAGATATGGCTAAGTGTGCTGCATTTCTGTTTGCAGAGGTGGCTTAAAGGAAAGAAGCATGTAGGAGAGTGTGTTTCCCTGGGCAGACCTACTCAGGACAGTGCAGACATCACTGTCTCCAATGTGCACAGCACCTGCACAGGGTAGGCACTGAACAGGAATTGAGTAATGGGACTTTAGTCTTCTGTCCCTAATCCAGCAGGAGCTTAGGGAACACCCTGTCCCTGATCTGCCTGCCGTCTGCTGGGAGCTCAGCACTTGCTGCACAAAGCAGGTCCTCTGTCGTTCCATTTGGAAAGAACCTTGGATCAGGAGGGAGCAGAATTGGAGGGTAACCATGAACAACTACCGGCAGGACGTATTTATGATCTTGCATGATGATCTGGAAGGTGGGTGTTTGGGGACTGGAGTGCTGTTGGATTTGAGGCCCCTCCCTGGGGCTGAAAAAGCCCAGAGCTTGAAGAGCCTAAGGACCCAGAGCATTTGTTTCATACAGCAGAAGCCCAGACAGATGACACGGAGAAAGGAGAAGGAACTCGTGTGAGGTGACACAGCCTGGGAAGAACCCAGAGCAAGGGCTAGGACTCCTCCCTTGCCTGCTTAAGGGGAGCAGTAGGGTGCAGGATTCTGGCAGCCCCACTGTGTCCGGCTCCCCATTTACTGCAGGAGACGTCTCCTCACCATCAGCTCCTGCCAGCTGGCTGCAGAGGTGCTGGTGAAGATTGGTGCAGGTGCTCATTTCTGAGCAAGGGCTCTCAGCTGAACCTAAGCACAAAGGGAAGTGATTGCCGTTATTGAAGTAGTGATACCTTCAGCACTTCTATGGGGACATCCTGGCCATCGGGAACCAGGAACTGGTGGACAGCCTTGTGGGCACCCCTGTAGGTTCAGCAACCCCACCTGTTAATCGAATCCCTACGTGGTTTTTCTCAATGCCCTTCCTTGGTCATGGGAGTGTCACATCTCAAAGGGTAACTAAAGTTACCCAGGGAGAGCCTGCTGGGGTTGCAGTGATGGGGACCTTTCCCACGTCGTGAGGCGCAGATATGAAGTGTCTGAATCATTAACACGCAGGTCTGGATGAAGGCAGTCAGGTGTGTAGCTCTGCTGCGCTCCTGGGCTGGTCCAGCAGAGGGCACAAGAGGCAAATGGCGCCTTGGGGTGAAGTTTGTTGTTATTCTAAGGAAGCAGGAGGTTGGGTGTGTTGAGAGGGTTGAACAGGGAAGCGCGCAGCAGCTCGGGGCAAGTTCTAAAGTTACCCAGAGGTGCTGCACGTTGGAACCGAGACCTCCCAGCTCTCAAGATGAATACTAGGCCTGCCCTTCTACAGGTTCCCGAAGGCCAGCCCAGACCTTCGCATTCAGCAGACTGGAAGGCAGAGTGGGACTGTGGGGAGTCATCTTGAGACTGCCCCAAGTCACCAGCAAAGAGCTTTGTAGATTTCTTTCTTATTTTAAGTGTCTTTTTTGAAAGCTTATTGTTAACCTTTAGGATCACAGGAAAACAGGCTTGGCCAGAGATTAGCCAGAACATCTGCTCTGGGCTCCTCTCCAGAACTGTGGCTTTGGAGTTGGGAGTCTGCTTTATGCCTCAGCTCTGTTCCTTGCTCATTGAACATGTCATCTGCCCTCCCCAAACCTCAGTTTTTTTCTTCAGTGAAGCAGAGATGTTTACCACCTAGGACTGAGCAAACTGAGGCCAAGCCTGAGTCTGCAGGTGCCCTGACACTTGTCTGTAAGGCAGCCTTGAGCCGAGCCAGACTCAGGGCAGGGGACAGTGTTGATGAGCTGTTCCCTAGGAGTTTGAGCAGTGCCTTGGTAGCCTGGAAGGTCAGTGTTTCCGCTGTCCCCCATGAGGACCTGACTGCTTCAAATCCTACCCAGTTTCTTTCTGCTGTCTCTTACTACATGTCCCAGCTTTTCCCCGATCCTCTGCATTCGGTACGTAACCGTCAGGTCTTGGCTCATCCCCCAGGTTGCTCTTCTGGACATCGATATATGTGGGCCCTCCATCCCCAAGATCATGGGATTGGAAGGAGAGCAGGTAAGAGCTTCCATTCAGAACTTAGGGCAGGCAAGGAGGCAAGCAGAGATGTGTATGTCTCTGTGTGGGCATGGTGAGCTCAGTTTTATGTTCCATGGCCTGTTTGCTTGAGCAATAGCTGTTCATTTGAGGGGCGGGATTATATATAAAAGTCATCTGCCCGATTTGAGAAGCACGGGTTTGGATGCCTTCTTAGAGGAGAAGGGAAACAGTAAGTGAAATGCAGAAGTGAGACACGGAAACTTAGCTCTGGCTGGGACCTTGGGGCTGGAGCTTGCACAGGGTTTGTGCCCTGGAAGCCAGGGAATCTTTCTGCCCTTGTGGTCACCCTGGGGAACTGAGACTTCAGGGTGAGGCAGTGAGTGACGTTGGCAGGGGCAGGGCCTCTCTCCCGTTAGTGACAGCAAGGCCTCCCATTGAGGTGGGAATGGGGGTCCAGTGTCCCAAGGCTTTCAAGACTGGCTCCTAAAGCCTCATGGAAGAGGGCAAGTGACAGCAGACTGCAGGAGGGCAAGGGGAGCTGCTCTTTGGCAAGGGTGGTCCAGGGCACCCTCGCTGGAGGGTGGCCTTTAGCAAGCATGTGGCAAAGGGGCAGGGTAGGAGCCTTACATCCTCATGTCCTCGGCGGACTGGAGGCAGGTGGGGCTGGTCCTAGTGGCTCTGCTGAGGCCTTGGGTTTAGATCGGAGGGCACTCAGAGTAGGGGACACAGCCCATGGTTGGGCAGGATCCAGACGATCTTGAAAACAGGCCCTGATCAGTAACACATTTTGCAGTACAAGTCCCCAGCATGGGTATAAGGTAATAGCACAGACATATTTCATGAGTGAAAATTTAACCAGGAGCACTATGCACCTATAGTCCTAGCTCTTCAGGAGGCTGAAGAAGGAGGATCACTTGAGCTCTGGAGTTGAAGCCAGGCTGGGCAATGTAATGAGACCCCATCTCAAAAACAAAACATTTTTTTAATGAGATAAAAATAAAACATAATTATTTCTTCTGTGCTACTGGACCATCACATTTATCTCTCTTTTAAGACCAGTGACTTAGTGAATAGCTATAGATAGATAGGAATGAATACTTTAAAAACGAAAAACTTCGAGCACAGAGGACCATGCTTTCATTTATATGAAATTAGCAAAATGGGCAAATCCATAGAGACAAGGTAGGTTAGGTGTCCTAACCTAAGACTGGAGGACGGAAGGGGTTGGGAGGTGACAGCTTAGGAGTGGAGGGTTTCTTCTTGGAGTTATAAAGATGGCCTGAAGTGTTGTGTGGGTTCACAGCTCTGAGTGTACACACAGCCATTAAAATGTACACACTTTCAAGGAGTGAATCGTGTGGTGTCCGAACTAGATTTCAATGAAAAGTAATAACTTCATCAAGAAAAATAGCCCTTTGATTTTGGCTGCTGTGCATTGCTCTAAAGAAGCCTGATTGTTGAGACTGGTGAACTTGGAAGCTGCTCAGCCCCAGTTCCTTAACAAGGAGCCACAAAGAGCTGAACCAAGGACATCAAGCCAGGAGCGATCTGAGGCTCACAGTTGACCAAGGGTCTCCCATGACTCCGGCTCCTGCCCTGGGATAAAGCTCAGGCTACAAGCAGGCCCCATTTTGAATTCACCATGTCACTAAAAAGAATTCCCTTCATTCCTAGACTTTTATAAAAGCAACCTCGTTGCTCCACAGTGAACTGTATTTTCTCTAGAACTCACTCTTAAAATACCTGAGTCAGAGTCATATTTGAACTGAACTAATTTTGTTTCCCTGACTATAGACCCAGAGTTTCAAAATGGCCCGCTCTGGAGAGCAGAGTGTTGATTGAATTGTATCTTCATTCCTCACCCCGCTCCAGCTGTTGACATCCCATCAAGAACTGAGGGCTGCTGTGTGCAGTGGCAGAGTGTATTTTAACACAAGCGTGTGCATACGCTTTGTCTGCATGCACAATGTGACCAGGGTATGTAATTTCTCATCAGCATTCGTGTTCACACAGGTTCACCAGAGTGGATCGGGCTGGTCTCCAGTGGTGAGTGTTCCCCTCTTGCCTTATGGTGCAGTAGTGTATGGTCAGGTGTACGTGACAGCTCTGTGGTAGGGTGGCCACATTTTCCCCAAGCTTCCTGTCAGTCTGCAGGCGTTTACTGGGGGACTGTTCCAGGCAGGGAGGATGCATGAAGACCAGGGTTTGGCAAACTTTGTCAAGGGGCAGACGTAAATATTTTCAGCTTATGGGCCTATGTGCTGTTTCTATGGCTCCAAAGCAATAATATAAGGCTAAATGGCCTCAACTGTGCTCCAGGAAAGGTTGTTTATAAAAGACAGTGGGCCAGATTTGATGGGCCATAGTTTGCTGACTCCTGATTAAGACAGTTAAGGAAATGACATGTACTTATTTTGGCTCAGTTGATTGTCATTGCAGCACAGGCCACACATTGTATTTCAAATCCCCTCAATCTGGGTGGAGGATGCAGAGTAAATGTGCTCATAAGTCACATGATAACTTTGTCCCGAAAATAATCTTCCTAGCTAGGCCCCAGGGAAGCACCCCCTTTGCAGTTTTGAGTAAAGTGCATCTTACCCTCACCTCTGTTCCCCCTCCAGTATGTGGAAGATAACCTGGGGGTGATGTCTGTGGGATTCCTGCTCAGCAGCCCTGATGATGCCATTATCTGGAGGGGCCCGAAGAAAAATGGTTTGCTACTCTGCTTTTCTCCTCACATCCTTGTGTGGTCGCATCCTATCCTGTCAGGAAGCACCAGTCACCCAGCTAGGCTTCGTAGTGTGTTATTGTCGTTGTTTTGTGGTGCTGGGGGTGGGACCCAGTGCCTGATGCATGACAGGCAAGTGCTGTCACACACAGTTATACCCCAGCCACTGTGATGTATTCCGCCCAAGCATCTGGTTGCCTCTGTCTTCACTGAAGAAAGCTCTGAGAAATACCAGTTTCCATTTTATAATTTTTAATGTCTGTTGTGAGTTTTCCCCTTCATATGTGTAGAATCCTGAAATTGTTTGGTTTTTTATGGTTTTGTACTGGCTTATTTGGGTCAGAGAGAGGTTGGTGAGGTGAGCTGCCCACCAGGTTGAACTGGTACTGAGTCACTCGGCCTCACATCACTGACACTGTAGGCCACTTAAATCTTTACTGCGTGAGGTGGGTTAGACTGTGCCATGCATGGAAGAGGTTTGATGGTGTCCCTAGCCTCTACCCACTAGATGCCAGTAGCACCCCTTAGCTAGTTATGGCAACCCAGCATGACTCCATACATCGCTGCATGCCCCTGGGGACAGTGTCACCCCTAACTGAGGACTGGTGGCATAGACCAAACAGACAGATTGCACACACTGCTTCTGTGTATCCTTTCATGGCACCAGAAAGGAAGAGAGGCAGGCAGCCGCTTTGACTCCTTTCTAGGCATGATCAAGCAGTTCCTCCGTGACGTGGACTGGGGAGACGTGGACTACCTCCTTGTGGACACGCCACCCGGCACATCCGATGAGCACCTCTCAGTTGTCCAGTACCTGGCTGCAGCACACATCGATGGGGCAGTGATCATCACCACCCCTCAGGTGAGCGCTGAGTTTCTTTTTCTTGCAGCTCTGAGACAGACCCTAGTCTCAAATTGGCTCTTCAGAATATGTATCTGCAGCTGCACCCAGCACAGATCTATAGAAATCTCTTATTAAACTGAGTGGCATAGGGTATGCTTAGCAGATGCAAGGCCCTGGATTTGATCCCCGGCACCCCAAAATGAAATAAACAGAATGCAGTTGAGCCTACCCTTAGGATTGTCCGAGAAGAGAAAACAGACTGAGCAGGTGCCAGCCTTCTTTGGATGCTGGGGATGGGGGCTCCCCATGTTTGTAACAGCTTGTCTGGAAAGTAGTTTTAGACCAGGGACATACACTTTTTCAGAGCCCCTTACATTAAACACTGACTGTGGCTTCTTACAAGTCACTTTTGGCAAAGCAGCACAGTTTTGTTCACAAGACACCAAGCAGAGAATCACAGAGGTATAACTGATAAAAGACTAATAGCTGCTCCCTTTCTAGCTAAGGCCTTTCCCCCCATACCTGGCCTCAGTGGGCTGGGGGACACGTGTGTGTCTTGAGAAGAGAGGAGAACTCTGGAAGCTTTGAACCTTCCGAAAGCCCATGAGTGCTAGGGCCACAGGCATTAGGGAGCACCAGCCACGCTTGCAGGTATGAGCCAGACTAGGTCCTGGACAGATGAACCTGCGATAATTTTGATGGGAGCAACGGCAAAGGGACTAGGCAACAGTGAAATGATGCTGTAAGATAAACATTCAGATTTCGGGAGTATATTTAAAGTGATCTAAGGAGGGCACTATTCTTTTTTTTCTCATTGTCCATAAAGCTGTTTGCGTCATAATGTCTTTCAGGAGTTACCAGACTTTCTGTAAAGGGCCAGCTAGTAAACACTGTAAGTCTGGTAGACCGTGAAGGCTCTGCCACAGTGACTCAGCTGTGCCACCACACACAGAGTGTGGGTGATCAGGCTGTAGAAGGCTTCACAGAAGCACGTGGCCAGCCTGACAAAGCCCACCCAGCAGACTCCACTAGGACCCATCTAGCAAGAGTAGGCAAGTGCTCACAAGAAGGTTGAATGTTGAGAAACATTCGGCGGTTACTTTTCTGCAAATTCACATGTCTGCTACTTGGCTGTGGAGGTTTGTGGAAAATAATAGCTAGAACTGGGCTTATCACATAGTCGTCACCAAGTCACAGTGCATAAGTGGCAGTCATCTCCAGGACTGCATGCAGTGAGCCAACCACACAGCAGCCTCTCCTCAGGTACACAGGCTCAGTGTCTTGTGCTCTGACTTGGGAGTAACTGGTCTCTGCACCTTGGCAGGAGATATCACTCCAGGATGTCCGGAAAGAAATCAGTTTTTGCCGAAAAGTGAAGTTGCCCATCATCGGGGTGGTGGAGAACATGAGTGGCTTTGTCTGCCCCAAGTGTAAGGTGAGAGAGTGTGTGGCATCAGGTCTGTACAAATACCTCTTCAGAGGAATGTCTCTCTGTGAAAATTTCCTGCTTTCTATCATTTTGGGAAGTAGATCTGAGTCCAAACCCCCTCTTGCTGACTGAAGGGAAAATGCTTTTTTGGTGGTTACTGTTCCCCATTCAGAATGAAATTTTTGTTTGTTTTGTTTTTTGTTCTTGGAGTTCAACACAGGGTTTTTGCGCTGAGCTGTGGCCCCACATTTTCGTTTTTTATTTTGTGACAGGCTCTTGCTAAGTCATTAAATCGCCCAGGCTGAGCTTAAACTTGCGATCCTCCTACCTCACCTGGGATTTACAGGCATGCACCACCACACCCAACTAGGCTGTTTCTTAAAAAGGTTTAAAAGCTGTGGTCTGTCCTGAGGATACTGAAACAAAGTCAGGCTTACTCCCCTTTCATTTTCTTCACAGAAAGAATCTCAGATCTTCCCCCTGACAAGTGGAGGTGCAGAGGCCATGTGCCGAGACCTGAAGATCCCTCTACTTGGTAAAGTGCCTCTGGACCCTCACATAGGTGAGCCGCTGAGTGGGCCTTCACTGTTCACATAGTCCTCATGGGCACAAGGCTGGGCAGGGAGAAGGGACGATAAGGAATTGGAACCAGACGTACAGAGCTCCTTCTCCTGTTGGTGTCCCAAAGCCTGGCTACACGACTGCTGCTGTAGGAGAAATGGCGACACCCAGGGGCAGGATGAGCGGAACGTGTTCAGGGAGATAGTAACAAGGGGGCAAAGAGGCGCTAGGAAAGAAAGATACCAAGCAGGGTGACAGCAAGAAGAATGGCTGGAGCCCCAACGTACAGAGGAATGTGTCCAAGGGGGACGCCCTAGTGAGGTGCCCTGGAGCCCTTCCTCCCAGGAAGCCTCTCCCTCCAGATTCCTGTCTCCCCAAGCACTGCAGCTGTGTTCCAGCCTCCCCTAGGCGGTAGAACCTTTACCAGGCACCCCTGTCCACAGTGGTACTGAGTGCTTCCCTCTCCTGTGAGCCAAGGACCTCCCTGCAAAGGCCCGGGAGGCCCCAGAGGCAGGTGCCAGGTGAACGAGATGAGCAACATGTGAGTGTACGCTGCCACCAGCAACCCTGCCTCAAGCAGGTCCCCCTGGTGGGATTGATTGCCAAGAGATGTATTAGCAGAAACCCCGAGCCCAAGATGGAGGAGGGGGAAGGTCTCAGCCCACTGGAGCATCTCAGCCTGCAGGAGCATTTCATGTGCCATTCAGCTCTAAGGGGAAGGTGGGCACAGCCACCAGGGTACCCTGAAGGCCAGTCATCCCTCAGAGGGGCTGTCTGCTCTACCACGTGACCCCAGAGATGACCTGTGTGTGGCCAGGAGGAGACTGGAGTCAAGAGATGCACAGCCAGGAAGGACTAGCAGACCGATCTGTACCATGTGGGATGAACTTAAATGTGTCAATAGCTACAAACAGTGTGGACATTATATGTTCCTATCATGTTTCAAGTGTAAGAGTCTATGTGTGTGTTCACTTGAAATTCACATATGTGTATCTTTCTGGAAAGATGCCCAAAACATCAGTAGCCTTCATGGACTCCCTTTTCGTGGTATTTCCCTTTAGTAGTCCATGGTCTGGTTTTTGTACCTTGTACATTTATTATCATTGTACTCAGTTAACCTCTTAAAATGCAGACTGCCGGGCCCATCTGGGAGCTGCTGAGACGTCAGTTCTCTAGAGGGCCGGGGGCCCTCGAACCTGCATTTGCCACACCCTGCTGATTTGCAGCCACATTGAAATGGTAGCCAGGTCCCCTGCTGTTTGGAAGGGATCAGGGTAAGGTCCTAGGGTCCCAGCTCTGTTCCCCATGAGCTCCAGATCACAGTACAGGAAGAGCCCCAAGGACTGGTTGTGCCATGTTTTCTTTACGGGCCTCATCATCTCATTTATCTCTTTAAGGTAAGAGCTGTGACAAAGGCCAGTCTTTCTTCATTGAAGCCCCAGATGCACCAGCCACATTAGCCTACAGAATTATAATTCAAAGTAAGTGTTTAAGTGAGTCTTGTAAATTCAACACTTACGAGCTAGGAGTGAGGCAGGCTGGGTATGAGAGCAGCTCTGCAGTTAGAATCATGGTGGTCACCACCAGCAGCCTTGGCAGGGACAGCATGGGTGGTGGGGACTAGAATAACCAGAGTGCTCCCCTCTGCCCAGAAAGCCACAAGTAATCTGACATGTCAATAGTGTGAACCAATTCACAGCTTAAAAAACATAGTGAAGCCAGACAGGATAGCGCACCCGAAATCCCAGTATCTTGGGAGGCTGAGGCAGGATCACAAGCTGAAGTACAGCCTGAGTAGTTTAGCAACTTAGTGAGACTCTGCCTTAAAATAAAAAAATACATTTAAAAAAGGGTGGGTCTGTAGCTCAATGTAAAGGCCCTGCATTCAATCCCATGTTTCTACTCCCTCAAAAAAAAAAAACCAATGGAGGTGAAATTTAAGGTATAAGAAATTGATCTCGATAAGACTGTTTAGGGCTGGGGATTTAGCTCAGTGGTTCCGCCGCCTACCTTGTAAGAGTAAGGACCCGAGTTTGATCCCCGGTACCAAAAAAAAAAAAGAAAAAGACTGTTTAAAAATTGATTTTAAAAAAGCAAAAACCATGATGAGCCAAAGTGAACCCATGCGCAGGCCAGGTGGAGCCACCCCAGACATCAAGGTCTCAAATTTAGGTCAGAAGCAGCAATAACTGGCTAGAGTTCCTGCTTCTTAGTTCAAGGCTGGGTTTTATTCACCAGTAAAGTGATGTGAAGGGTCAGTCACATTCCTAGGATCCCAATAGAGAATGGCCCAGGTAAGGCTCCAGCCATGGGACATCCACCGTGGGCAGCGAGAGGCATTCGGGTCACTTTCCAGGTTTTGGGGCCTCATAGAAACAAGCTCTTAATGAAATTAGGCCACCAGGGGATTGTACCCTGTAAGGTGTGGCTTTCCCCAGCAAAGTCAGGACTGTCCTTGGGGCTGACAGGTGTGTGCACTCTGAGCACTCTGTCTTGTTTTCCAGGAATCCAGGAGTTTTGTAGCCCCCATCAGTCAAAAGAAGAGAACCTCATCAGTTCATAAAGCGTGTTGAGGACCAAGCAGCTTGTCCAACACACTTGAGTAGCTTGGGCACAGGTGGGGTGCCAGGCCTAAAGGGACCAGATGCTGGCCTGCTTGGAAGTGACTTTCTCAGAGACACTTTAATCATCTACTCTCTGTCCACTTTCTTTAGAACACGGCCGCAGGGCCTTCTTTACACACGCCATTTTAAAATAAAAACAGCTCCTCAAACCTGTCCCACAAAGTCTCTTCCCAGACACCAAAGGCCTGGGGACCAGGGATGCTGTGCTGCTAGAAGCCAACCTGATCACAGGATCACAGGACTCCCGCTAACACCACTCTACCTCAGATGAAAAGGAAGCCCAGGAAGGAACCAGAGGGCTTGCATGTGGGGTTTCGCTGCAGAACACAGTGCTGCTTTCAAGCAGCAGCATCCACATTGTCACTCGTCAGATGGAGGGAAGTCGAGACAGCAGCAGAGCCTCACTCAGCCCGTGCTGGGATCAGCACACCCCGCACAGCTGGGAGCCATCAAAACTCCCTTGAAAAGCCCGTAAGTGCCCTTCATGAGGATCTGTGGTCTGTGTGTGCCCTGTTTAGTAATACGCGTACAATATATCCAGTAATTTCCAGGGTCATATGCCACCAACAGGAACTGAGACCAGCAGAGGGAAGAATAAATTCCTGTTCTCCTTACCACTCTTGAGACGTAACGTGGAAGGGCAGGCAGATCCCCTTGTTCTTTCCCTCCCTTTCTCTCCCCCGCTTGTTGCCTGCACATATGGTTGGATTTGTGTGAAGAAGGTGGGACCTGTTAAGAGTGACCTGGCCACAGCCTGGGCACAGTCTGGCTTTGGCCGGGCTGTGTCCTTGGCCATCAGGAAACTTGGGGAGCCACCTAGACCTTAGGCACAGTGGAGTAGTGGCTGTTCTTCCTCTGAGCTCCCCAGCCATTCCCACCTAATGCTGGGGAGTCTTCACGTCCTCAAAGCCAGGCTTCTGAAAGGCACCTGGGAGGGAGGGGCCTGCAGGAAAACAGCCAGCCAAGGCTCTGCCCTGCTTTGTGAGCAGGCTGGTTGGGAAACCTGCAGGTGTGCCGGCTTGTTACTGTGGCACACACAGCCTTGTTCGAATTTAAGATTATTAACCATGTCAGGATGAGCCTGGCCAGACTTTTAAAACTCATCTGTTTCTCACTTCTAGGAGAAGTGAACTCATCTGCTAACTTTCCTTCCTTAATTCTATAAGATTTTAAAGAAAAACATGCATCCAGAATGTCACGAAAGGACAAATGCTATCTGATTGGGCTGCTTAGAAGCAGAGAGTGGTGTGGTGGCTGGGGGGAGAGGGACGAAAAGTTCATGTTTAATAGATGGAGTTTCAGCTTGGAAAGGCATAAAGTGTCCTGGAGATAGGTGGTGGCCGCACGACGTGAATGTACTGAGTGCCAAGAACTGTACATTTGATAATGGTTTAAATGTCAATTTTGTGTAAATTTTACCAAAATAAAAGCAGAACAGTGGCAGGCTGGCTGAGAGCAGCGTTACACGAATTACAAAGCCTCCTTCACGGCTACAGGGTAATTGTCTAGGTGAGACCTCAGCAACTCACCGTCTGGAACACTGTCTGGGATAGAAAATTGGCAGTGACCTTGCTGATGTCGCTCTCGCCTCCCATCTTACAAAGGATGTAGCCATAGAGGTTCGCAGCCTGGAGTGAAATCCCAGCAATCACAAGAGCCTGTACTTGGGCAAAGCAAAGGGAAGTCTGCTGAGAGGAAGCCTGTAGGGTCTACCAGCCACTCCCGCTCTCTGACCTATGGCAGCTTTGGTTTTTTGGTGCTTCTGTCCCTCCGCTTGCTGTCTCCTAGATATGGTGCGCTTTCATTTTTGCTTTTACCCTCTCTTTTGTCCTTCCCTTACCCCCTCACCCCTCACCTCTCACCTTTAAAATAAACATTTGGCACCGTTAAAAAAGAAAATATCCTAAAATTGATCATGGGGATGGTTTCACGACTATGACTATGCTAGAAACCACTTATGCAATTCAAATGGGCCAAATGTATTGGGACAGGGACATCTCAACAAAGCTGTTACAAATCTGTCATAACAAAAGCCTACTCCTGCAACCGCTGGTTTGTAGAGGTGTCAAAGCAATGTCAAGGTCAAGGTGCTGCCTTACCATCCACTTTAGTTTCAAGGAAAACAAGGTGCTGAAAAAGAACACTATCCAGATCATGGGGCAGATGATGAGGCCCAGCCAGAAGATGCGTGCCTCAGCTTCCGTGGCGGCAATGTGATTTGGAGAGACCTGTTGGGAGAAAGGATTCATTTTCAGAACTAGCAAACATAGCTGCAAAGAGCGCTGTCACTTTCCTGTACGTTACCCACGCTTCCTCTGCTCAGAGTGCCAGTGGCAGCGGACTTTGTGCAGGCAGGAATCAGATACTGTACACAGAACTCGGAAGGAACCCACAGAAACTTCTCCCGGCCATTTCTCCGATTCACATTCCTTCATCTTGTCACAGAGCACACCTTTCTGGCTTCAAAAATCCAGTGGCTTTTGCCATCTTCATCGATCTGATTCCACCATCGGAGGCCCACCATGAGTCTTCCAGTTACATTCTGAAGAGAATGGACAGAATGACCAGAGGCCTCCACAGGCACAGTGTCATTGTCCTGATGAATAAATGCAAGTCACTAGTGTGTGTTAAACTTACACTGAGAACAGGATGAAAAGGGGCATCAGACTGGTGATTTCCCCATCAGTTTTTGATGCTTCTAATAAGCTTACTTTAAAAAGTGAGACCCCCCCCAAGAATACATTTATATATTCTTGTTGTATATGCATGTGATATTTTTACATTATATGTAAACTGTATGAAATTCTATGGCCATATATGGTCATCGTTCCCTCATGAAAACATGTACAAGATGACAATTGATACTCAGAACCTATTTATTAAACACTAAGCAGTGTACTCTTTTCCTTTAATTTGAAGCGAATCTGACTCAGGTATGTACCAGCAGTTTAAACTGAAGTCCCACACACATAGGAGATGTCACCATCTAGGAACAAAGCACATGTGCCCCAAGAGATGGCATCCCAGCAGAGGGGGCCTTACCTTTACAGACCAGAAGTCGAAGGACAGAAGGAGCAGCACAGTAACAAAGCAGCCCACGAAGCTCTTGCTGAACCAGTCACAGCACATGTAGGTGACGATGGCACTCACTCGGAAGAAAAGGTGGAAGAAAGTAGCCAGGGGATGCCTAGAAAACAAACCAGAAGGTGCCCTTACTCCCCCCGTCGGAGCCCTGGACTGCTGGTGTCTCTGTGTGGAAGGCCCTCCAAGCCAAAACAGGCAGCAGCACGGAGGACACACGGCTAACTTCACAGTCCCGAAACCACCAGTATGACAGCAGCGATATTGTTTTCTCTCCTTCGAAGAATCCAGTACTTTCCCCTAATTTGACTCCAAATACCACTTGCCTGGTGTGAAACAAAGTCAACTTTAAAGTGAAACAGGACTGCGATCGCTGGTCTCCCATCTAGCAATGACAGTGCCCAGTTCCCTAAAGGTAAAGGTTGCATTATTCTGCTAGTAACAGCACACGTGAACCCTCAGGCAGAGGCCTGGTGTCACCAGGGAGTGTGTTCCTGGGGAGGAAATGGTCACCACACTTGAATGGCAGGTCCAACTCATGCCAGCTGCTCAGCAGTGTCACCTGAATGCCTCTGACATTAAGCCGAGAGGAAGATGATTCTTGTTCACAGTGCCTTATGACCTACCAAAAGCAGAGCAAGACAGTGAAGAGCAGTCATCCTATATCAAGTTAGTGAGTCTGGGAGAATTTCAAGGGTGAATTCTTGAAAAGGATCAATAGTTTGTCTGGAGCAGGAAACACGCCTACAGGGGTCATGCCGGCAGTGACAGTGGCTGACACAGGCCATAGGCTACCCATGGCTTTCTGTTTCTTTCTTTGGTGTCCCAATTTATATAGAGCTTGCGGGTAGAGAACAGTGAATGCTCAGCTACAATGGAGAAAGCCACGGCATAAGCCGGATGACACTTGACAGCCAGAACACCGGCTCAGTGCCAGTGCCAGAGAAGGACAGTAAGGAAAGGGTGGCTCCCATGAGGGGAGGTGACCTCCAAACAGGGCCTGGTGCTGCCGGCTCTGACGTGTCCACCAGAAGCCAAAAACTTGCAATTGAGTTTTAAGTGATGACAGAATTATTTTAATAACATATCACAGACTGTGTTCTTAACTGGACTGCAAACTGTCAGCATGCCGGTAGTGGAACAGTTATACATATTGTGGGTTTGTAAAGTGATGGAGTGGGGGACCGGGTGCTCATCAGAAGCCATGGTAGAACTGCAGGGGGAAAGAGCTTGTTTGTCTCCCCAACTTGAAGCAAACTTAGGCTGGCATAAAATTATGAGGAGTCTCTGGGTGATTACATGCCTGTAATCCCAGCAACTTGGGATCCTGAGGCAGGAGGATCAAAAGCTAGAGGCCAGACCTGGGCAACTTTATGAGACCTTGACTCAAAACTTAATAAAGGACAGAGTGTAGTTTAGAAGTAGAGCACCCTGGGTTCACTCCCCAGCACGCCCCCATACAAGCACACACAAATTATTGTGGGGCGTCTGGCCACCAAGAGACCATTAAATAAGACTCAGAAGCTGAGTTCAGAGTGACATCTTGCATCATATGCTCCTGATGTTTTTGGAACACCAAGCAGGCAAAGGGGGCTGTGGTATAACACCAGCAGTTTTCCAGCACATTCTCGTGCCTTTCAGAAACCTGGGCAATCATGGTGGCCTGAAGGACAACCAGCCCAGGAGGTGCACTGACATTTCAGGATGAGACGTGACCATGTAGAACTTCAAAACTTCCTGGAATGTTCCAGAAGACTGTTGGACTCTCATAACCTTTTTTCCTTAATCCTTACTGAGATTTTTTTCAACTGTTAATCCAGTTTTGCCCCTTGACCCGGAAGATAAATATTCTCCCAATGACTGAAAGTTTCTTAGGGCAGAGATCATGTTTAAAATAATTTAAAATATTTTAATTAGCACCTGCTAGGTATGATTCTCTGCAAATATAATTTCTGTGCTGAATCTTGTGATTGAGTCAGTTAAAAGCCCTGGGAATATCTGTCTTTGGAAAGCAATATGGACATGAAAGATAAAAGTAACGTAGAATATATATTCATATTCAGATCCAGGGTAAAACCGGGAAGTTCCCGCATTTGAATAAATCCCTTGTCTGCTCACTGTTTTCTTCTATTGGCTGTGGTTTTTCTGAAATAAAATGAAGAAATATTCCAGTTGTTGGAAGGTTCTACTAAGTTGAGTCCTGTTTACCAACCTGCTTATAACCTTAACTCATACTGGAAAGTATTATTATTCAAGCAAAGCCCAAAACAATAGAGTAGGATTTTAACCTCTAGCTTGAATCCTGTTTTGTACAGGTTGCGCTCTCCCTGCTACCCCAAAATCCTCATTTAGTCCACCTCAGGAGTTTGGCCAGCCTGGCCCCATTTAATAGCAAAGTGGCCTCAGACTAGTTCGCTAGTTTCATGAGCTTTGAAGGCCACAGTTTAAGTTCTGTTCACCCTACGATGGGGTCCTCTGCCCTGCTGCCGCCTCTGCAGCTGTGGTACACACATTCATGGGCACAAACACGCCGATCTGCTCCACCTTCAGGCACAATAAGACAAACAGCACACTTGTTCCAAGCTACCTGGGCACCAGACTGCCAGGGCTTTGGTGCTCTGAGTAGCTCCGTGGCCTTTTCTACCACATGACCTCTCAGCACCTCTTCTTCTGTAAAGGAAAACTTCGAGTGAGGGTGGCACATTCAGAATGTTTTGAAACACATGGTACCCAACAACCAGGAGCCGCTGTTACCACCTCAGCCCACAGCATCTCTCAGCTTGATTCCTCTGCCAAGGGGCTGCACTGCAAAATTCCCCTCTGACCGCGACTTTCTCTTCGAGGGGGTCCCCCCGGACTGTTGATCCTTCCACATTCCCTCAGATGACCCTTTGTACTCATCTTCAGCAACTGACATTTTCTACTCAGTATCTGAGACTGCCCCCTCCACAGACCAGGTGGAAGCCTATTACCTGGAGAGGAGCAGGGAAAATGAGGCCGGTGTGGAAAGGGGGAAATGAAATAACTCCAAGTGTTGTCAAGGTAGGGAGCATCTTGCTGGGTTTGTGTGCAAGTTTCCTCTATTTCCATTTTCACAGTTCTGGGCCCCGTACACATGCCATCTTCCACCCTGGAGAGAAGCACAGTTGGATCTCAACCTGGAATGTGCACGAGAGTCACCTGAGGTCTTCAACTGCATGCAAGACACATGGGGCCTCAGATGTGGGGTGAGACCTCAACATGAATTTTACAGTGCTATACCATGTTCAGCAAACTAACCCAAGGCCAACCCTGGCCCACCTCCTATTTTCATATATAAGGTTGCATTAGAAAAGAGTGAAAAGGATACGGTGGAGCACACCTGTAATCCCAGCACTTTAGGAGGGTGAGGCAGGAGGATCAAAAATTCAAGCCCAACCTGGCCAATTTAGTGAGACCCTTAAATAAAAAATACAAATTTTAAGACCTGGGAATGTACCTCAGTGTAAAAGTATTGGGTTCAATCCCCAGAACTGACCAAAAAGAAACTTAAAAACAGCCTTCCTCATTCAATTACTGGTCTGCAGAATATAAAGTGTTTTCCCAGAAAGTGCAGGTACAATTTTGTGATTAAATTAGGCTTCACTTAAACCAAAATGAAGCAATGTGTCACTACTACTGTCTGTCCCCACCACAAGAACCCACTGTCAAAAGCTGTGGGGCTGGAGTTACCTGACTGGCAGAACCAATGGATTGTGTTGGAACCCAGGCAAGGTTACCTCTGAGGTGAGCATTCACTTACAGTTAGCGGATTTCATGTACACTACATCTCAACTCTTTTTAAATTCCTCTTTGAATCTACTGAGCAAACACAGATCTTTGCAAGTTACTCCAAAACTGCTAGATGGGATACAAGCCAGCCATCCTAACCCTCAGCATTTACTCAAAAAATAAATGGAAACTTACAGATGCAAAAAAAAAAAAAATTGACATGTAAATGTTTATAGCAGTTTGATGCATAACTGTCCAAAATGAGAAGTAACTAGGGGGCCCATGAGGAGAATGGACAGACTGCAGCATGTCCAGACAATGGGATGTTCGGCAACACTATGAAGAAAAGAGCTATGGTACCACGAAAAGACACGAAGGAACATTAGACATGCACTGCTGAATGGAAGAAGGCACTCAGAAAAGGATGCATGTGGAATAATTCCAACTCCACAATGTCTTGACAAGGATGAAGCTGTGGTGATAGTAAAATATCAGTTGTCCCCAGGAGTTTGGAGGGGTAGAGAGAGGGAAAAATAGGCAGAGCACAAGGGATTTTTAGGGCAGTCACACTTCTCTATGAGTTTACAGGGTGGGTGCATGCCCCTGTACATTTGTCAAATCCCATGGCATGTTATAACAGGAAGAGGGACCAGTAAGTGAACGGGGGACTTCAGTTGGTTGAACATTGGTTCATCAGTTGTAAAAGACGTACAATGTAAGACATTACTAATGGAAAATCATGGGGTGGAAAAGAGCTTCTGGGCACTGTATTTCTGCTTAGTTTTTCTATATCTCTAAAACTACTACAAAAATAAAAGGCAAAGGTTATAATAAGGTGAGTGGACACAGGTTAGAAGGTGGGTCCGCCTAGACAGAGGACACAGAGCATACTGGGCTGTCTGTGGGAAATGTCAACATTTACTCAAATGTACTGAAAATTTAAGTCTGCACCAAAAAAAAAGCAACCTGTGAATGTGCACAGCGAGGCACATACAGCCCCATCCACCAGCGGCTGCAGCGAATTTGATTTAGTGGAAGAGATTGGAATTTAAGTCTACCAAAAAAAAAGCAACCTGTGAATGTTCACAGCGAGGCACATACAGCCCCATCCACCAGCGGCTGCAGCGAATTTGATTTGGTGGAAGAGATTGGTTTATCCTACATTCAGCAGCAATCTAATAGTTTGTTTTAAAAGTGCCCTTTATTTGATGAATTACTTTGAAATCTCCTCCCTGGATTTATAAAGACTATCTCCAGCTTGATTTCCTCATCAAATATCCTCTTTAAAACTCTCTGCCATCTGTGAAACACTTGGGCATGCGTTCTGTATTCAGCATGGCACAAGTCCAAGGAAGG